TCCCATCCATACATTGACACTAAATTTTCTTTGGAAACTAACTTGCTTCTTCTGATGCGGATTATCTTCGGCCCAGTAGTGCAAATTATGAAAATTTGTTATTCCTTCTCTGCTAAATTTTGATTCATCGGTCCATAAAATTCTTGTTAAAAATGAAGCATCCTCAATATCCGCATGGAGAATAAATCTGCAGAATTGAACTCTGCGCGCCGGATCACCCTCGTCTAGTCCTTGCACAGGAGTGTGATGAAATGGGTGAAGACCATTTTGATGAATCACTGACCAGACCTTCCATTGTGAAACACCCAGCTGTCGGGAAATTTTTCTGGTGCTTGTTGTTGGACCTTCTTCAAGTAGTCTCAAAATTTCACCATCAATGTTAACGTCTGCAGGAGGAGCTCCTACGCGTTCTACTCGTTGAAGGCTGCCAGATTCTGAAATGCGACGGTAAGTTGCACCAAACACACTAACATGTGGAATGCGCCTATTTGGGAAGCGACGTACATATTCTCTTTGAGCTTCAGCTGCATTTCCATTGGAAAAACCATAAATAAATAAAATGTCCGCATATTCAGCATAGCTAAACGTTGCCATTTTAGATAGAAGTTAACAGCGAAAGACTATCATCAGAACTATTTAAATCAAAACTTTGGACGAAAAACTGAAACTAAATTTTGTTATTGTTTATTATTATTAATTCAAAAAATGGAAAAATGCGTATGGTAGGTATACCTGTTGATAAATATCAACATGATTGGCGAGTATCACACCAAATTGCAATAAGAAAAGACTGGAAAATAATGTTGCTTACTTAGTCTGAACTTACAATTCTTCTAAATGCGAGAATAAAACCGTTACTCCTACAAATGAAAATTATGAAATCAACAATAAAACAACCTTATTTTAAAGACAATAAAATAGAGAATTTTTAACAATCATTTGTACGTTTGGTGGACTAAAGTGCGTTTTTTTTTTTAAAGATAAAAGTCAAACTGACATTATGTTGGCAATACAATGTAAAATTGTCAATGCTTTCAAATTTTTCATGTAGAAAAGGCTTGTGTTGCCAACATAGTTACTAAATTTTTGACTTGGGGAATTATCTTTTAAAAAAAAAACACACTTTATGAAGTTTTCGAAATTTTTCAGCATAAAGAAACCATTAATTCGCAGAATTCAGTTCTGCAGATTTATTCTGAATTCGGATGTTGAGGATGCTACAATATTAGAGAAGGAATAACAAATTTTGATTTTTTACCTGATAACCTTAACGGTGAAAATTATGAAGAATTTTCACGTAACAACTTGTATGAGCTACTACAAGATGTCCCTTTAGCGAACAGGCAAACAGATGATCTTCCAGCTTGACGGATGTCCTGCACACTATCGTCTAACAATAAGGGCACTCTTAGACCAAAGGATTCCGAATAGATGGATTGGAAGAGGTGGACCCATACCATGGCCTGTTAGGAGCCCTGATTTAACTCCTGTTGCGATATTGCGACAGAACTTTTCAAATCGAGTAACCAGGACAGAAATACGAAGACGGGCTCGTAATTGCATAAGGAATGGGGTTAGTCATTTTGAAAATTAATGAGTTATTGATTAAATTGTATCAAAAAGTTTTTCCATTTCATTTTGAGAATGTTGTTTTTTTTATTATGATAGGAAATACATTTTTTCAAATGGTAATTATTGTTTTATTATGGAACGAAAAAATTAGGTGCCAATTGTGAACTATTTGAAAGAGAATGCATTCAACAATGCTTGGCCATAGAGTGCCAGTAATTTATTATGAAAATTTCAAAATTTTCAAGCAGAAAATAATAATTACTTCTTTACTAAAAACTATTACTATTAGCTACTAAAAAATTTGATAAAATTTTTATTGCAACACTTGATATCCAAAACAGGTATAAATTAGAATTCTGTTGAAAATTATATCGTCTCTCCTTAAAATAAAAATAATTTATTTAACAAGAAAGCAAAAAGCTAATTCTGAAATAATGTACCTTATCTTGGAGACAATAAAATGGAGTACTTTTGCCAATTATTTGTACGTTTGAAGTAGGTACTATGAAATTTTCGATATTTTTAGGGTTAAATAAGTCATTAGTTAGAAACTTAACAAGAAAAGTTAAGTTTAAACCGCAATAACTCAATAGTTAACATTAGTGTTTCGATAATTTTCAATGCTGATATTTTTGTCAGTGTGTCAGCTTAAAATTTAAAACACGACTTTCAGAAAGGTCCTTATTATTTTCGTTAATTTTAAATATTTGCCTCATAAGGTAGTGAATTTTATAAAAATTAGAAAAATGAAAATATCGCGAAAACCGTTAAGAATGGTATAGAGGTAAATAGTGTTTAATCGGTAGCAAATAGGCTCTAATGTCATCTCCTCAAAGGAATACGTCCACTTACCAGTCACCCTGTATAGGATGTTTCAACGAAGATTGAACAGCATTTTTAACTCTCTGTATTTTTTGAAAAATTCAAAATAGCCAATTGGAATATTTTTTTTTGCAAAACTCACACATTTTTTAATGTCAAGATTTCGACTTTAAACGATGAATTGGAATTCCAGAAACTCCATACATTGCACTGAGAAACTTTAAAATTGAAATTATAGAACATTGAAAATTTTCCAAAAATGACACTGAGACGGTTTTTGCGTCGCAGTTCCGTTAATTTTTATCCGATTTCAGTGTATTTGAGCTCCAATTCAGATTTGCTGTTGTTTTCATATATTCTGCACTTAAAACTTTCTCCAATGAACCTTGGAGAATTCAAAAGATACTTTGATTAATTTTTGATTAAACAAGACTATAAAAATCACCAACTATAATAACTTATTGATTGTTGATTGTTGATTGATAAACTTTGGAAATATCCAAATATTACTATGAGTGAATTTTGAGTGAATTGAGGAAGAGGCTCTATTTGCCTTTCCAAAAAATCTCAACTTTAAACATATTGAATCAATCCACTAGAAATTCTACTGTCGCTGTTCCGATTCCTCTCTGAATAAATAGAAGAAGAACCATTAAAAAATAAAAACCTTATTATCTCAATAAAGGGTCTACAATCCTTGTGATAATTTCAGCTCATTTGCTCTTATAGTTCCTGAGATAAAATCGTGTTAAGCAAATTGGGGTGTTTTATCAATTTTTCAATTTTTCTGAGTGCCTTTTTTCCTAAATTTCGGCTTCAAATCTGAGAATAATTCAGTGTATGGAGTTTGGGGGATGTTGATTGACCATTAGGATATAAAATCTCAACAAAAAAAAATTGAAATATCATCTTTTTAATAAGAACTACAATCCCTGAAAATTTCAGCTCATTTGCACTTATACTATCGCACTTAGTGCGATATCTCCTTACAGGGTGATGCAAGAAAAAAAAATTAAATTACAAAGTTGTTTGATACTCTAATATGCATTAGTTAAAAATATTTTTGAATATACAGGGTGCTTCGTTTATGGGGTATGCGACAAAACTTTGTTATTTCAAATAGATCACCCTGTATGTAATTGCATATTTGGATTCTTCGTAAAATTCTGAGCAGATTTCATGTAATATACCCTATACCTAAGTTCAACTGTTTTGGAAATATTGACAGTTGAAAATTGACTTTTTGCAACTTTTTTGAAACAGTTGATTTTAGACGAAACCCGATTTTACATTCTTATCTTAGATTTTCATAAACTATCATTTGACACCAACTTTGAATTTAACCGGAGATTAAATTTAACTGGAATTTTTAATCATGGATTAAATTCAAAGTTGGTGTCAAATGATAGTTTATAAAAATCTAAGATAGGAATGTAAAATCGGTTTTCGTCTAAAATTAACCGTTTAGGTTTTACAGCCTGTCAAAGTTGCAAAAAGTCAATTTTCAACTGTCAATATTTCCAAAACAGTTGAACATAGGTATAGAGTATATTATATGAAATCTGCTCAGAATTTTACGTAAAATCTAAATATGTAGTCACATACAGGGTGTTCCATTTACAATAACAAAGTCCTGCATACCCCATATAAACGGAGCACCCTGTAAAGAGATATTGTCCAATATCGCACTAAATGGACACCCTGTATATTTTATAGTTCCTGAGATGTTAAGCAAATTGGGGTGATTTATCAATTTTTCAATTTTTCTGAGTGTCTTTTTTCTTAGATCGTGGAAATTTCCAAGAGCTACTCTGAATTCCTCTTTACAAAAGATTTTAAAAATTTCCTTTTTGAAGAAATTCCAAATAAGGTCTCAATCTGCTCGATATTTTACAGAGAACTCAAATACTCTTCAATGATTTCTGGAAATTTCAAGTTCCAATAAATTCAGAGAGAAATACTGAATATTTGATTTCTCAAAAAGTTTTACCTAGTACAACAAATTCTGGAAATTTCCTAAAACTACTCTTATAATTGGTTTTGCAAAAAGGCTCAATTTTAGTCAATTCCCTTGAAATTTCATTATTCAGGATTTTAATTTATTTTCAACAGTTTTACATCTGACAAACTTTAAAATTGAAATTATCGAACATTGAAAATTTTCCAAAAATGACACTGAGACAGTTTTTGCCTCACAGCTCCATTAATTTTCATCCGATTTCAATGTAATTAGGTTCTAATTAAAGCCCATTAAATTCTCTACAAATCTGTAAATTAAGATTTTAATTTGGTTCCAACAGCTTTGCACCTGAGTGAGAAGTTTCAAAACTGAAATTATCAAACATTAAAAATTTTCCAAAAATGACACTCAGACAGTTTTTGTCTCGCAGCAGCTTTAATTTTCATCCAATTTTAATGTAATTAAGCTCTAATTAAAGCCAATTAAATTCTCTACAAACCTAGATCAGGATTTCAATTTAGTTCCAAAATTGAAATTACACAACATTGACAATTTTCCAAAAATGTCTGAGGCAGTTTTTGCAGCTCACCCTGTACAAATACTCGATTCTGCAAAAAACTGCCATCAATTTGAACTTCTTTTCTAGATAATTACGACTATGCTGTTCCCGAAGCCAACACTCTACCGTTGCTCTCTGGAAGCGATCAAAATACTCTGCCAATGGTCAGAAATTCTTGCAATAAGGCTGTGCAACAGCAGAACAAACAAAGCAGGGTGTCTTTGAGAAGTACTAGAAGTGAAGGGGCCGAAACCAGAAGGGTAATAATAATTTATAAACCTAAATTTTTCATTAACCATCAAATCATTCCAGTCTCCCACCCAACAAGAGGCATTAGCAATACTCAAAAAGAGACTGGAGGAGACTACAATCAAGGAATTTCCCAGGCACCGATTAAGAATGTTGTCGAAATTGTCTGAGGGTGCTTTTGGTACTGTAAGTATTAATTAATTCATAAAATTGCATTATTAACATACAAAAATTTCAGGTTTATATTGCAGAAACCGACGGCATAACTGACACTAAACTTGTAGCTATTAAGTTTTTAGGAGATAATACTTTAGAAAAGGAAAAGTAAGCCCAATTAAATCATACGATTTTTTTGTTTTATTATCAATTCATTTTTAGAAAAGACTTCTATAGAGACGTCAAAATCCTTTCGGCTTTGGACGACGACAACATTGCCCGAGTTTTAGGCATTTGTAGTCAAGATGAACCTCTATGTGTAGTAATGGAATATTTGGAACATGGCGATTTATGCCAGTTTTTAAAGATTCACGTTACTAGCGAAAACAATGCGACTTTACCTTATGGAGTGAAAAGTTTGAGCTTTAATTGTTTATTGTACATAGCTACGCAAATTGCTAGCGGGATGAGGTATTTGGAAACGTTGAATTTTGTTCATAGGTAAGTCAATATTTTGTTCTTGATACGATAGTGAATGCGCCACTAATGATTATTTTTAGAGATCTGGCTGCAAGAAATTGTCTGATAGGTAAAGCCTATCAAGTGAAAATATGTGATTATGGCACTTACAACGAACTGTACGTAAACGATTATTATAAAGTTGACGGAAATACGCCCTTGCCCATTAGATGGATGTCTTGGGAAGCTGTAAGTACCAATTTTGTCTGGTAAAGTTTTTCGTCAAACTGTCAAGAATTTCAGGTATATCAAATGAAATATACAACTAAAAGTGACGTTTGGTCTTTCGCTGTAACTTTATGGGAAATTCTAACGTTGTGTAGAAGGCAGCCTTACGATTACATGTCAGATCCGGAAGTAATGGAAAATTTAGCAAGGTAAGTATTTGCATTTTGCATTTGGCCCTTGAAATTTTAAACTTGAATAAAGAAATTGTGATTTCAAAGCTGATTAATAAGATAATAATCCTACACACATATTTTTATAAATCTCACTATTGGAAATTTTGACTTTCTAGTGACGTCTGATATAATTTTTTTATTTCCTCAGATTTCCTATAATTATTCTCATTTTGAATATTTTTATCCTCATCGTAGTTGTCCTTTTACAATTATTTAAACCTGACAAATGGTGAAAGTCAAAAGCGCTCTACTACACTGAGTTTCAATAAATTGAATACAAATTTTTCAATTCTTGATTTATTTTAGGCTTCACTGTGATGATAACCAATACAAGTACCTTCCCAGACCTTCGAATCACAAAGACATCTACGATTTGATGTTGGAGTGTTGGCGAAGAGTGGACACAGATCGGCCCAGTTTCAGGGAGATTCACATGTTTTTGCAACGGAAAAATTTAGGTTACGCACCTGTATAAATTTTTATTGTTATAATAAAGCGGACTGTTGATGGTATAAACTTTGCTGGTACTGGCTTTTTAGCCAGATACAATAGATTTTTTAGTGGGATCAATGTTAATGTAAATACTACACAGGGTGATAACTGATAACTTATAGTACTATATTTCTAATAGCTTTTTCTCAATAATTATTTATTAATGTATTTATTTTAATGTTAAAAACGATTTTTCTTATTTTCATCAGTTTGTGCTTACTTTAGTGATTAAATTATATTTTGGACAATCAAAAAGTTATATGGAAAATTTCTAGTTAAATTTAAACTTTTTAAAAAAATTGTTACTTCTTTGTTTGCTCTTATAAGGTCTGTTTCCACAGAAATCACAAACCAGTCAAAGCTAATTTCATTGGTCGAAAATAGTTAGGAAACTGGTTGTTGGTGATTTGGACCAATCAAAAACACTCTGACTGGTTTGTGATTTCTGTGGAAATAGCCCTATATAGTCTCGATTAAAAAAAAAAAAAAAACTCATCTTAGTGGCTTAAAAAAATTCTAATATCGCTTAAAAACATTTGTTAAAAATTCTCTCACTGCACAATAATAAAAGACAATGGTTTAGATTATAAAAAAATAAATAAAAAAATACTGTATATTATTAATTAATAATAAATAATTATGAATAATGTTTATGTTATTATGTATAAATTTATTGAATTTCTTCAGCAAATAATATTATTATAACCTAGTCAAATTATTTTCAAATAAAAAATAAGGGCTAAATCGAAGCTTAACTTTTTAACTTTAATGCTTGAATGTATGTAGGTATGTATTTAATTTTTTTTTAAATTAACTTCTAAGAAGTCTTTGATGGAACAATTCTAAATTATATAAAAATCTTGTATAGGTTTATTTATTTTGTTTGAAACCATGAAAAATATTTATACAATTACTGACTGCTTGATGTTTCCAGTTACCATAAGAAAAATGTCATTTTTTAAATAAAATAAATGGTTACAAAGATATTATTTTGTAATTGAAAGCAATGTTAAAAATAATTAGTGTATAAAGCAAATATTATACTCTTTTATTTATTTTGTTAAAGTGCCAACAACGACCATTTTATTTTTTTAGATCTGTGCCTCTACTACTCACTGTATATAAAAAATAAGAACAAATAATTATTGCTTATAACTCACATTTTTTAGAATATCGTTTTTAAGCTCACACAATACTATGTAGTTTATTAATTTTAGATTATATTTGACATTCCATATTATCAATACAAAAATGGCACAAGAAAACTTCTTTAAGATTCTCCGATTGCGATCATTGAATGTGTTTTATATTTATGTCAACATATCAGAAAAATAAAAAAAGTAATACATTTGAAAAGTGTGGTTTGATTTATTGGCATAATAGTGTTCAGTCCTTCACTCTTCTGCAAATCCCTGTAGAATGTATTTGGATTTCGATGGGGTTGCGAAGTTTGCCGCGCCAAAGGCCTTGGCTGTGCAACAGGCTGGACTTCATCAGGAGCTATGTGAGCAGACGTAAGTTGGTCTGTCGAGATAGTTTTGTGTTCGCCATTGACATCAATGACAAATGTGCAGTTGTTCACACAATGCACGACTCGGTGTGGGCCAGTGTATGGAGGTTGCAATGGCTTTTTGATGCTCTCGACGTGCCTGAAAACAAACTCACATGTATTTTAAGTCTTTAAACACCCATGGGCGTTGTGAAGTGTGTCTCGAGGCCAGGACAGGCCTGAGCGCAGCTCTCGGAGAAAACTGGCGCTTGGCTCGGGTGCGTCTTGTGTGGCCATGAACTCTCCAGGGATATGAAGCGAGGTACCAAAGACCATTTCAGCCGGTGAAGCTTAGAGATCTTCTTTCCACATGGTGCGCATGCCCAGTAGAACCATAGGAAGAGCTTGGGGCCAAGGTGTTTCTGGAGAGCACATCAAGGCGGCCTTGAGGATTCTGTGGATCCGCTCTACCATGCCATTGGCCTGCGTATGAATGTACTTGGCTCCGACAAAGTGGCTGAGTTGCTGAAAAATAATGGCCTCGAACTGAGGGCCTTGGTCAGACGTAATAGTAAGCGGTGTGCCAAGGTGTACCATCCAGCCATCGAAGAGGGCACGTGCTACAGTGGGTGCAGTTGTCTCACGCAGAGGAATGGCATGAGGGTACCGTGAGTACGGACGGTAGTCTGTAAAAATAGTAAAGGGCCTACCTTCAAGAATCCTTGGAAAGTGTTTGACCGCAGCGAAAACAGCGAGGAACTCGCGATCATATTATGTAGAGTAGCGTTGTTCTGTGAGTGACAGGCTTACGTGAAAAGAACCCAAGCCGTGCCCATGAACCATCTGGTTGACGTTGGTCCAAGGCGGCACCAATGGCAAAGTTTGACGCATCTGTTCTGAGTGCAAGTGGCTGTGGGCTGTGATGCAGACAGGAAGACAGTTTCGGTAGTGTTTACGATTGCTCTGCTTTGCTATTTTGGAAAGCGGTCTCAGCGTCGGCCGTCCAGGACAGGACCGATTTCTTGGCTGTGGACCCTTCGAGCAGCTCAGTAAGTGGCGCTCGGAGTTCAGAAGCGCCTGTAAAAATTCAACATGCCCAAGAAGCGACGCAACTGTGAGGAGTCGTGCGGCTTTGGAAAGTCAGTGATGGCTGCATGCTGTCTTTGGAGCGGGCGGGCTGATGCCCACTGACGTGACCTAGTAGCCTGCGAAGACGATTTGATTCAGACCAAAGTGGCACTTGGACCAGTTAACAGACAGTTTGTCTTTCCTGAGGGTACACAGCAGGAGTCGAAAATGCTGCTGATGTTCGTCATGGTTGGTGGAGTGGTTCACTATGTCGTCTTCATAGCATTTGACGAAAGCTGATAGCTTTCGGAGCAGGTGTTTTATTGTACGCTGAAGGGATTGGCCTGCGTTGCGCAAACCCATTGGCATGCCCAAAAATTCAAAGAGGCCAAATGATGTCGTGACCGCTGTCTTCTGGACGTCCTCCGGCGCCACTGGGATCTGGTAGAAGGCGCACTGTAGATCTACAACAGAGAAAACCTCACCTTTACAGTTTTGCAATAGGTCCTCAATGACAGGTAGAGGGTAACAGTCTGATTGGGTTACACAATTGAGGTGGCGGTAGTCACCAGTGGTGCGCCATCCATCATTGGGCTTTGGCACGAGGTGAAGTGGACTAGACCACTGACTTGAGGACGGTCAAATGATGCCTCTCTCAAGAAGCAGGTCAAATTCCTTGCGTGCAGCCGCCAGACGCTCGCCTGCGGGCGTAAACAGGTGGGCCTGTGGTCACAATATGATGGTGCACAGGTAGGTCTGGGAGTGATGCCATTGCTCCAGGAGCTACGGCGAGGTCAATGAACTCTTGGACTATTGCCCTGTATTTCTCACCCATGGCATCTTTGGGTACCTCAAAAGTTGGAGCAATCTGGACGCTTGTAATGTCTGGTTCGGGGCCTGCCATGCAGGTCGTCGTTAGGCTTGTGCGACCGATGAGGAGGCGGGCACGCTTGAGGTCCAGAATGAGGTCGTGGTGGGTCAGGAAGTCGGCTCCAATTATAGCTGTCGTGCCTTCAGCGACGTAGAACTACTATTCGAGTGGCCTGCAAAGGCCTAGGTTGAGCTGTAACAATTTTGAGCCAAATGTATTAATGGGGGTACAGTTTGCTGCAAGCAAAACTAGGTCTTGCTTAATTAACTGTCCCTTAATCACTCGTTTTGGTAAAATTGAAATTACGGAACCTGAGTCTACGAGGAATGGAATGTTCAAATGTTTGTCGCGAACATATAAACGGTTTTCAATAGGCTGAGTACCGGCGACGACAGCCACGCACGACGCCGGGCCTACGAGTTTCCCTGGTTAGACTGAGGCGCAGATCTAGCGACAAACGCACAAGGAAGTCTGCAATGCATTGCTTTGTTGCCCCAGTTTGTATGGTACCAGCAAAATCCTGTTTCTGAGTCTGCGCCCGGGGTGGAGGACCGGTCGCGCGGGGGCCCATTTGCATTGCGATTTCGGGATCGGTCACGCTCCGGAGGCACTAGGCTTGAGCTAGAAGCAAGAGTATTATTATTGTTCGACAACTGGTTAATTAATGTCCGTATTTTTGCCATATCTCGAGGCATTGCATCCATTCTTGCATTTGTTGCGTCGAGACTTGCGTTTATCTGTTCCAAACCAGACAGTGTTGTAGAAGAAATTGGGGAAATATCAGCACCGTAGGAAGGGTTGTGTGGTAGCGACGACGTGGACATATAACTGTGGGACCAAATTCCATAACTTTGTCCGCAACAGAAGCCAAAGCGTCTAGGGTTTGCTCTGGTAGAACAGCGAACAAACGTTGGGTTGAAGAAGGTAGTAAGTCAAGCCATCTTACCTTCAAGACCTTGTCGCCCCGCATATGCCTTAGCAGCTGCGTAGGCTTTCTGTCACCAAGTTCCAAGTTTGTCAACATTCGGTGGAGTTGAGCTTCGGGGCTCTCAGACAACCGATCCATTAATGCAGTTTTTAGGGGTTCATATTTGTCAGTAGCTGGTGGGTTGAGTAGCACGTCAGCCACCTCAGTTATTATTTCGGCAGGGAGCTCTTGGACAACCATATCAAATTTTGCGGTATCGTTGCTCACCTTATAGTGTCTGAATGAAGACTCAACTCTAATTACTCATAGGTTCACCATGGCAGAGTTTCGAATCACTTTACATTTCAGAATATAGGTTAAAGTAAAAGTAACTTTTTCTAATATCATAATTGTATTAAGCTGTGGTACTATTTTCAACCAAATTGTACATTTTTTAGTTTTCGTCGAATGCAAAATGCATGGAGTATAACGGGTGTGAAGTGTTCTAGAAGCTTCGCACTCTGCATGCGGAAGCGGTTATGGTTGGTGTTTCAGGGGACGGGGACGAGGAAAATAAGAACAGCTCCGGAGCGCGAAATCTGCCCAGACGAACGGGCCAAAGGATGAACAAAGTACTTCGGAGTAACTTAAACACGTCTAAAAGCCTATACACAAAACACATAGCATCAGTGGAAGCGATTTCATCTATTGGTTTAATAATCGAAAAGGGTGGGAAAAGCTAGTACATAATAGGAAATCCTTTTTTTCCCAATTTCACTTGAGGACAAGAACACAAAGAAAAAGTGAAAAGTTCCAAAAATGGCTTTAACGCAAAGAAACAGTGGGAAAAAAAGAATAGAGAAACTGAAAAGCGTGGTGGAAAATTGAATGAAAAACACAAAGAATAATTATTGAAAACAAAAGCAGAAAAAATCCAAACAATACAATTTTGACTTAAAAAATAGGTATTTTCATAATTCGACTAAACATAAAATAAAACCAATAATTTATAGTTTCTGTATTGATAATTATATAATATACATATAATATATCTACAATATGCTTATATAGAAATAGAACAGAATATAACTATTTGAAAATTTTAAAATCTATTCATTGTTTAAATCACAGTTAGAAAATACTACCTAGTTTTTCAATAAAGGATTTCAAGTACCTAACATTTTATTTTTAAATTCTTCTTAATTTGATTCTGTCATTCAATTATTGTACCACGAATTAGACATTCCTGCATCAAGTTATACTACTAACAATTTAAAACCAATTTCATATTATCAAAACCATAAATTATTATTGCTCTCACCTTTAATAAATATTTACATGAAATTGGCTTCAATGTTAAAATCTAAAGTTGTGTACATATACAGCCAGTAAACTTTGAAAGGACATCAATTTAATAGTTGAGTTTGCTCAAAATTGCTACAAAATTTTGGACTTCCTATAAGCGGTTTTAGAAGCTCACAATTCCAAAAAAATACAAACTTCTTGAACTATCAGTCACCAAAATATTTGGTTTTTCATCAACTAATTCTTTTTGGAATCAACTATTAATTAGGTATTTTACATTAAAATGAAAAGTTTCAATAATTAATAACAAATTTTAGAGCCTATATGCAATAGAATATAATGATACTGTACACTAACTGGAATACTAATATAATCTTATTTGATTGAAATGAGTGAAAATAATTAAGAATAATAACTTAAGTACTATAGGTTATTAAAAATAGAATTATTTTTGGATAAGTACAATTATTTGAGATACAAAATAAGTACCTAAGTAAAGTCCAACCCTTTTTGTACAAATTTTGGTCCCATTGCAAATACTGCCCAAATTTGATAAAAAGGGTGAATGTTGAATGAAATATCAATAGAATTTAACCCGGAAGTGGAGCTTCGGCGTAGAAATCTGGCTCGTCATCATCCACATCTGCTTGATCACCATCTAACTGTAAATTAATTACAGGTAATCAAAAATATAAATGTAGCACATTATTATACCAAAATTATATTTTTTTCTATAATTAGTATTCACGTGGCGTCAAAAACAGAAAAACTTTGAACAGTTAGAAACGTGTGTGTGCAAGAATGGCTTTTCTTTTTACATAATACGTTATTTCCGGTCTTCCTTATTTACGTAACCTGCTTTTGATTTTTATTTAACTACGAATGAGTCATTTAATTATTTGGGACATTAAAAACTTATATTTCTTATTGCCAATAAAATGTAGATTTAAAAACAATCAAACAAAGACCTTGGACAAGGTTGGGTGATTGAAAACATCGATACCTTCTAGGTGTATGGGGTTTTGATTTACTTGTAGTTGGAATAATAAAATATACTTTAATTAATGAACATTGAAAATTTGAAATTTGAGTACATTTTCGACCTACCCTATATTCTATAATGTTGCCTGCTAAATACCCTCTATTTTTGGGGGTGATTTTGCGGCAGCACTATAAATATACACAAGGGGTGTTGTCTTGTGACTCATCTAGTGGTATTTGTGTTGAGATCTACCTACAACTAATTTTTCGATAAATGTGAGATCAGATTCATGAAATTTCTAGAATAGTACCTAACACGTTTCACAAAACAATTCGATAAACACGGAGTACAAAAATAAACCAAAGATTGAAAAGGTGCATTTGAGTTCGAGCTGCAGCATTAATTTTCGTTTAAAAACATCTGGCCCATTAAATGGGTCAGTCATCGATGGATTTACGTCGTTTTTGTTTATACTTACAGCACGAAGCTCCCTCTGTGAAAATATGTGTTTTAGTTGGTCTCTAACTGGTACCATCAAAATCAGGAAAAACGGAAAAGCCAAAGAAGCTTTCGTCGATTTGACCACCCACAACATTATCAGGCACATCATTTGGACGAAAGTGAAGATGTGCATTTTCATTGTACGAACCTGAAATAAACATAAAAAATTAATGTATTTACTTAAAAATGTGTGTCACACTTATATGATTAATACAAATCTAGGAAAATGTTTACTTAGTTCTGATGAGACATCAAACATAATTTATGCCTTGACATTATTTAAATAAAGTGCAGTTTTATTATTTCAAATAAAAACATCCATTAATTAATAGTCGGTGTTGATGGTACCCTCATCAAGGTGTTCAAAATTAACGGTTTCTATTCCATCCAAAGACAAAGAAACAGTTGGTTACATAAGGAACCGCAAACGGGTTTTTTAAATCTTAATTTGGTCAGTTTTTGCCAACTTTGTTTCGGATTTCGGTTTAACGAACCGCCAAGAAAGAACCCATTCAAAATTACAACAAAACATCCTCGTGTAGTGTAGGTATAAATACCTACCTAGTATAGAGGAGAGGACCAGTTAAGTTATGTAAGTGATCTTTTCACTTTCTTATTTTTTTAAGAACGTAAATTTTGGTTTTTAGACTTTAGCCAATAATAATTATTGTAGACACCTAATTAAATCCAAGAAACATGATACCTACAACTGTAGATATTTTTTGTTTCATCAGGCTCAGGCTTTATATATTATCTAAAAACCATTAAACCAAAATATCCAACATTTTTCAGGTTTTTATGCAGTAGGTACTTAAGAAATTGTAAAGGGCTTCACCTGCACCCTGCGTCACCCTCACAGCTATTCCAGCTATTTTGGTTATTCTTAACACAACTTGGTCGATTGTATGGTTTTGTCTTGCTTCAACTTATCGCAATATGCTCCTTCTTTCTCTCAAAACAGGGCCGCACTATTGAATGCAATTGTAAAGCTAATTGGATGATACCCTAAATTTTCAAATTAACGGTCATTGCGATTAATCATATTTACTTTTTATTTTTAACCTTATCCTTGTTCTAGGGATTCATTTAAATCAAGAACTTTTCCATTATTTTTTGGTTCAATTTTTGTTTTTCCTGCTTCTAAAAAATTTCCCGAAATAAAGAAATAATTCCATCAAGCTGGCAACACTGTAGTTGGTTACTGCGTTATCAAACAGTGACTTTAGTGTGGAACTAGTGCAGTGCCGTTTTTTTTATTTTTGTCTTTTTCTTATACAGGTCCATTAAAAGGATGCAAATACACTAAGTGCGCATTGAATCTACCAACCGGAAATGCCATAAGTCAATTCCCTATACTTTCACCTTTTGCAAACAAAAAAGGGAATAATTCCCTCAAGCTTGCAACACTGCGTGGCTAGTGACTGGTTACGTTGATTGTTTTTTAAAATCCTACATAACTATTATACAGGATTATCGTTATGTATGGAAACGGTCTGATATTTCAGAACCGGCTTGAAAAAAAAGTACAATATTTCCTGGGGGTTTTTGGGAATGCCCAATTCAATGGTGGTATTTGCAATGTTGCTAAGTTTACCGTTTCTATGATGTCGTATGCAACTTGATTTTTTTAAATGGATGCCCCTCTTGATTTTTATTGTAATTAATTCAGCGTCCCAACATTACTAAAACCCCTAAATGCCAAAACTCCATTTTACTTGCGGTTTATGAAATATGACAACACAGATTTTTTGTGAAAATGTATGGAAACAGTCTCATAGTTCAGAAAAGACTTTAGAAAATGTACAATATTTCCTACCTGGGGGTTTTTAGGAATGCCCGATTCAATAGTGGTATTTGCAATGTTTCCAAGTTTAAGATGCCGTATGTAACTGCCCGTAGGGGCATCCATTTAAAAAAAATCAAGTTACATACGGCATCTTATAAACGGTAAACTTGAAAACATTGCAAATACCACCAGTGAATCGCGCATTCCCAAAAACCCCATGGTAGGGAATATTGTACATTTTCTAAAGACTTTTCTGAATTACGAGACTGTTTCCAAACATTTTAACAAAAAATCTGTGTTGCCATATTTCATAAACCAAAGTAAAATGGAGTTTTGGTATTTGGGGGTTTTAGTAATGTTGGGACGCTGAATTAATTACAATAAAAATAAAAAGGGGCATTCATTTAAAAAAATCAAGTTGCATACGACATCTTAGAAAACGGTAAACTTGGCAACATTGCAAATACCACCATTGAATCGGGCATTCCTAAAAATCCCCAGGTAGGAAATATTGTAAATTTTTTTCAAGCCGGTTCTGAAATATCAGACCGTTTCCATACATAACGACAACCCTGTATTTAAAATGTTTTGCAAGAACATGGCGGCGACAACGTGGCTTAATTATAGATTCATGTTTAAAATTTGAAAAAAAAAAAAATGGCGACAGGGGCGTGGTTCACTTCTATTATCGATACTGTTTTTGTCACTGTAATCAGTTTAAGGTGGGACAAGCTCCGCTCCTTTCCAATCAGATACATAGATATCATTAGGGCGTTCAATTGGTTCGATAAGCCCCGTCCCTTTTCGGCGGCCATTATTCTTCAAGGGATTTGATTGGTTATTCGTTGTTTCCCTTTCCAATGGCCCCACCTTTCACAGTACATTATTAAGGAATCTCCCTTGAAAAGGTTTATTGAGTCATCGAAGCATTTAATAAGAGGGATAAGCCCCGCCTCTTTCCAATCAGATGTAAGGATATGAACAGGGCGCTCAATTGGTTAGATAAGCTCCGCCCCTTTTCGGCGGCCATTGATCGTCATGGTATTTAATTGGTTGTTTTCCTTTCCAATACATATTTAATCTCTCATTGGGTACATTCAAGTACAGTGCCTCTATACAAGACAGTGGCGACAATAATAGAGGGACCCATTTTCTATTGGCTACAGAATATCCGCCTTGTTTTGACGAAAGTTATTTGTATTTACCATTTGATCCTAGGTATGGAGATTTATGGAATTTTGGGTTTATATATTTTTGTTTTTGTTATTTGTGCCTGTTATTGAGTATTTTATGAGAAAAAATTAGAACAGAAAGAAAACAAAGATCAAATACATTATTAAATGAGTTCGACAAATCATGGCGGGTGGGCGTAGCTTAGGCACTAAAGTTATTTGTGTTTACCATTTGATTCTATGGATATTTAAGCAATTTTGTGTTAATATATTTTTGTTTTTGTTATTTGTGCCTGTTATTGACTATTTTGTGATAAAAAAATTAGAACAGCAAGAAAAGAAAGAAAAAATACATTATTGAATGAGTCCGACAAAACATGGCGGGTGGGCGGAGCTTAGGCACTATTGTCGCCACTGTCTTGTATAGAGTCACTGCAGTTTAAGGTGGAATAAGCTCCGCTCCTTTCCAATCAGATACATAGATATCATCAGGGCGTTCAATTGGTTCGATAAGCTCCGCCCTTTTTTGACGGCCATTATTCTTCAAGGGTTTTGATTGATTATTCGTTGTTTCCCTTTCCAGTAGCCCTACCTTTCACAGTACATTATTAAAGACGATTTCGCCACGTTTTGGTTGGTAGGTAAATTGGTTAACCGCTAGGTAGGCTCTTCGTCACAACAGTGACGTTGCATACCATTTTCAGCCGATATCGGCCGGTTTACCAAATGTCACGTGTATGACGTGATGGTGATGGTATGCCTGAGAAAATAAAAATAAACAAACTACTGAATACTTTTTATTGTTGGAAATTAAAATTGGGAATAGAGAAAATTAATTGTGTTTATTTGTTGAGAGTTAGCAAGCTACTAATTCAAATAACCGTGCTCCAAGCTCGGTACCCAATTTGACATACCAAAATGGATACCAAAGTTATCGTGACGTCATTGTTTTTCGTGCCGAAATTGGTTGGTACATTTTTGACCAACCAAAGTGGGTTACCAAAACGTGGCGAAATCGTCTTAAAATTTTTAAAATTTGAAGTTTGTTTTTTTTTTTTAAATTTTTCAAAATTTCATGAAATGAGAGCCCCAGAGTGGGGGGTTCATTTTTTGTATCTCGTTCAGAAACTGACTATTAAAAGTCTCCAAATTGGCCCACCCTGTACATATAGGAAACTGTATGAATTTATAACGGAAAGTTTTATTTAATTTTGATTAACATAATAGGCACAGAGGAAGATGAAAACGAGATCTGAAAAAGAGGTGTCTTAGAATGTTAGAATGTTAGAATTAAAACCAAAGTATGTATAAAGCAAAAACCTGCGGAATCATAACCTGTGGTGCAAACAGCCTACCTCAAGGCGAGAAACAAATCTGGCGAGAAAGGATATGCTACCTACGTCACAACTGGTGATTTGGCGTGGTGGAGGGATTCAGATTTGTTCCACACAGGCCTTATGAGGAAAGGCTATCCCGAACCTTGGTTTTCGCCAATGTTTTCGCGTCCTTTGTTATATTCAATATTTGAATATTTAAATATTTATTAGTGGTTCAGTATAAAGAGGATTTAAATATAGAAATATATCTACTTATAGAGTATTTTGCTTCACTTTAAATATCTACCTACATTTTGCATCAAAATAAAATTGTATGCAACTTCCTCATTCATCCTATGAATAAAACAGAAGCAAATGCTTTTGCTCAAGTTTTTTGAGATAAACCAAAGAGATAAACATAGATATATTCAGCTTTTATGCAGCAGGTTGAGTACCTAAGTATAAGCATTTGCTACAGTTTTTTACGGACTGAATAATTATTGCCAACCTGTTTTTGATTGGTTCTACACCATTTCAAAACCAAATCCAAGCGGCAGTAAATGACAAACTGGTCATTTTAATTACAACCTATGGAATTTCCTCCGTGTATGGGCACTGGTCCAGGTAGGGCGTTTCAACCCAATAGGAAAGCTGGTGTTTGTTTACAATTCAGGTTATTTAATGCCATTTACTGCCGCTTGGATTTGGAAATGGTGTAGCTTGAAATCCCATTATTCATATTTAAAATTTGCAAGAATATGGCGACGGGGCGACTGAGGCGAGGCTTAATTACTTACATTCATATTTAAAATTTGCAAGAATCAGGCGGCAGGGAAATGGCTTATTATTTCTAAGCTTGCCATACGTCCCGTATTATACGGGACAGTCCCTTATTCCAAGGTCCATGTCCCGCGTCCCCAAATTTGTTGTCGGGACGCGTAAATGTCCCGTATTCTCTGATATTTCAAAAAGCGTGAAATATAGGTAATTCGATTTTGCCCCTCATTCCCTCATCTCTAGTCTCAGCAAATCGCAACGTGCTGGTTATTCGAGAGCATTTAACATTTGACAGTTAAGAATTTGGCGAATTCGGCCCAAGGGTAATAATCACCACTAAGGATTGCTTTATTGCTTATCGGCCTCATTTTTGGTAATGGCCGCCATATTGGTGTATCACCATTGCCGACGTCATCAACTAAGTCGTCAGAGACGTCAGCTGTTTGCGCCGGCAGTCGTAGTTTAGAATTTAAATCTATGATGAAAAATATTTAATTTTGATTAACATAATAGGCAAATAGGAAGATGCAAACGAGATCTGAAAAATATTTGTTTTAAAATGTTAATTAATGTAGTAAAACCAAGTATGCATAAAGTAAAAGCGTTGATTCCTGTGGTGCAAACAGCCTAGGTCAAGGCGAGAAACGACATGCTGTCTACGTCACAGATGGTGATTTGGTGGGGTAGGGGCATTGAGGTAGTTATAGGAGAGGAGGCGACGTCACCTGAGAAAAAGTGGTAGCGGGTCCGCCATGCTAGTGCTGGTTTTGTGTCAATACTTACCTATTGACATTACAACTGTCATACACAATTTCTGATTTCGAGACGTAATACGCAATTTTTGATTATTTTGGGGTTTTTCCGACTTGCTTGTGTTGTGTATGAGAGAAGTATAATGTCTTCATGTGCAGTAAGAAGTTGCTGCAGCAGGTTTGGCGTAGAAAAGAAGAAATCAACGGGAATATCATTTCATAGTTGAGTATAAACAACATTCAGGATCGAACTTCCAATTTTTTGTTGTAGTTTTAATATGTAGTTATGTTTTTTAGAAGTATAATTTTTTAACAATTTTTAGGCCACATAAAAACAATTAAATACATGTAAAAATTGAAATACCAATAGAGTCTGACTTTTAAATATATTTGAGGTAAATGAAGTAAACAAATATGACATTTGAGCTGAATCCAACCCTGATACAGCGGCCATATTGGTGCTGGAATAGCTCCTAATGATCCCGTTATCAATGCATACTCGTATACGGCAACAGCGTCTCCTTTTATATAATATCTCAATGGGTAGGGGGCTTCAGATTTGTTCTACACAGGCCTTATGAGGATAGGCTAGGCTGTAGTAGTAGTGTATATTATCCGTGAGTTCGATCTACGGGCGGGGTCCAGAAAAAATAGAAATTTGTCTGCGGCGCTATTTTTTCTTAAATACATGAAACATCTGCTTCATAAAAATGTCCCGTTTTTTTATCAGAATATTATGGTAGCCTTAATTATTTCTATTGTCGCCATTGTTTGAAAAGGTTTAAGTCACTGTACCTAATCAAACGCAAGAATATCATCGAAGCATTCGATAGGTTGGATAAGACCCGCCCCTTTCCAATCAGATGCGAGGATACCATCAAGGCATTCAATTGGTTAGATAGGCTCCGCCCCTTTTCGGTGGCCATTTATCGTTGAAGTATTTCAGTATTTGATTGGTTGTTGTCCTTTCCAATGGCCTCACCTTTCACAGCACATATCACATCTCCCATTATTATTCAAAGATTTTATTGGATTGTAGCATTTTTTTATATTATTTCCCAAAACGATTGTTTTTGATCATAAGTAAATAGCGGCGTTGTCAAATGTTCGTATTTTGCATAAGCTTTGTTTTGGTTTCACTCAGAACTAGTTCGGAATCATTTTGCACATGCGCATTTTATAAAACGCGTTTTCGTTTTTTCAGAATCGTAATCGAACTGTGTTGACAGTGTTTTGGTTTATCCAGAACTATTTAGGAACAATTCTGGGATTGTTCTAGAACGGTTCTTTCAGTACTTGCTCTGCAGGAGGAACTGTTTTAGAATTTTGTGATTTGCGGCGTGTTTTGGTTTTTTTGTTCCGAATCGGTTCAGAACTAGTATTAGAACAGTCCTCTATTATTTTTTGTGCACAAGCAGTTCTGCGCAATCCCAGAACCGTTCCCAAATTTCGAACCAAAACAAAGCTAATGTCAGCTACTATTTTTTTTTTCAATTTAAGTACAACTCAATACAACTTCACCTAGGAATGAAACGACAATCTGACAACGCCGGTACTGATTTGTGACGTAAACCAAACAAAAACGTTTCAATTTAGGTAGTGGATAGAGGTCCGAAAATTCATATCTCTAGTGTTCATACTAAATATCTGATCATTTTCGGATTTTCAATTTGTATATTAGGGGTCCGAAAATGCGGATCTTTAGTGGTAATATGTATTGAAGATCCGAAAATAGATGTTTATTTCTAATTCCATCTAATAAGGAATATTATCGTCGCAAGTATCTACAAAGAATAATATTCGAGATCAGTCTGCTTCTGCAGAAATCACAAACCAGTCAGAGCGAATTTCATTGGTTGAAACTACTTTTCTGACTGTATTTTCAATCACTGAAATTTGAAGAAGAAATATCTTTAGCAGAAATAGAAGCATACTTTTGTCCCGATTCTTATGTTTTATTACAAAAACGAATTGAAAAACAAAATAGTATTCTGAAATGGATTTATGATATATGTAACAAAGTGATACATGAAGATTGCTTACGAGGTGATTCATGTCTTCAGTGTAAACATGAAGCGTGCTGTTCAGTAACAAAGCTGCCTTCTAGTAAAGCCTGGTTTTGCATGCAGTGCAGAAGGAACTAAATCACACCTCTTACCCTATCAACCCTTAAAATAAAGAAATATTTATTTTCAATTATGTAATGTTTTAAAAAAATAAAAAGGTAGGTACTTAGTTTTCTTTTTTGTACTGTTCTGTTTGAAATTGGACCAACCAAATATTTTCGAGTAAACTTGATTAGCTATTCTACATAAAAAGGATTAGAGGATCCATTTTTTCTAGTATAAATCCTTAAAATACAAGCATTTTATCAATTTTATTGGAATATTCCTGAATTAACAGAATTAGAAATAAATAACATACCTATATTTTCGGATTTTCAATATTACCACTAAAGATCCGCATTTTCGGATCCCTAATATACAAATTGAAAATCCGAGAATTGTCGGATCTTTAGTATGAACACTAGAGATCCGAATTTTCGGACCTCTATCCACTGCCTTCAATTTAAAATACTGATGATTTTCAATTTTGAATTTCTATTTCTAAGAAAATAATCATTTATAAAGATTTATAATAGGTAAGGAAAGATACTCTTTCTCATGGAAATATGATGGCTTTTCAATCTTTTATTAAATTTCGAACGAAACAAATATCTTGAATAAATTCCTTAATAGGGTCCTGATATTCTTCGACCGGTGGCGCTATCTGGTTACCGTCGACCGACCCAAGCGCCAAACCAATCAGACAGAAAATGAAACAAAAACCGATCGGAATCGCGAATGACCTCCATTACTGCGGCTCCTTTATTTCGTCAATTTTAACATAAACAACGAACAATTTCGACTTCCAGCTTTGCACAAATTCAACCGGAAAGTGTCGCGTACAAGAAACTCGCAAAAAACGACGATTTTCCAGTGTAAACAGTGCATTTTGTGCGGGTGTGGCCCCCAGGCCAGATAAACAAGAATTGAGTCATCAAGGTTCGTTACACCACCACCAATGTCAACAATAGATTAGCCTCTGATAATTAATTTGCAATAACAAAAATGAGTGCGACTAATAATCCGGCCGCAAGTCCCACCACCAATCCGCAACAGGCTACGGCCACAATCAAAAGCCGTCCGAATATTATGCCCAGCAGTTACATGTACACTTCGAGCAGTGCACTTTTGAACAGAAACAACACCGAAAACAAACCGACACCGCCGCCTACTTTGCCCAAGTACACTAGCAGTTTTAATGCAGGCAGCAGCTTGAACAGAGAAAGGGACAAGGACTCTATCGGGGGCTCTTACAGGCTTTCCAGCCTGGACAGGCTTGCGATGAGGCAAAAGTTTATGGAACAACAAAATCCTACTAATGGGACTGCTCAGCCTCAGATGCAGACTAATGGGAATGGGGATGTTGGGTCTAGTGCTTTGTCTAATAAACGAGAAATGTTTTTCTCTGGGACAGGTAAGAATTGGAATAATTATTGAATATATGAAAACCAGAACCATTCAATGTTTTTTTTTTTTTTGAACTTTAACCTGGCCTGAAATTTTATAGTTGAAATTCCATCACAACGTTAAACACTAATTAATTAGGTACATGTATTCCTGTCCTTCAAAATAACTTGATACAATCAAGCTACATTGCATTGTTGATACTTTCCTCTTTTTGTGTTTGGAAAGTACCTAAGTATAGTTGTATAGTCAACATGGGTGAAATGGAGATAGGGGTCATTGAAAACACTGGTAAATATAGGTATTGCCTCGGGTATTGCATTTCAAAAATAGAAAATATTCCAAATGTTTTTATTTGCCCCAACGCTTGATCATATAGGTATTTTGAATAGGTAAATAGTTACATTATGTTCTCAATTACCCCCAAGAACTGATTATTTTCATAAAATCCTAGGTAATTCAAAACTTCCCATAAGTATTTCCAAAACTACAAGTAAATACCATAAATGTAGGATAACATTCAAATATGTCGTTGTAAAATGCATTTTGCAGTATAGTAGACCTAGCTAAATACAAGCCTGAATAATAACATTTTTATATGTGCTAAATGTGTCTCAAATCATACAAACCACAAACCATTCAAAACTGTTGTACAATTTAGTTTTTGGTTGATTTTTCTTAGGTATTAATGAGTATTTATCGTAACCAAAATAACCCTACACCAAAAATTTACATTTAATTAGTCCAAAATTAGAATGTTTTTTCTTTAACTTCAACCTCAAAATCAACAGCTGACATTTCATTACAACTTTGAAAACAATTTTCCCAAGAATCTAATAACTTTAAAATAATTTCATATTGCATTGATATCTATTGATTCTAGGATACCTATCTTATGGTATGCTAATCTAGGTACATGCCTCAGATGTGTGTTTTTTCCCTTCAGAGAAAGGCCACAACTATGAAAATCCTTTGGGATTTGCCTGAAGATTTGCACTAGAGAACCAATTGTAAAATAGCTATTTGTACAATAAGTTGCGAAATGAGCGTCTTTTAGGCACTCGACGTGAAAATTGTCCAACTAGGCAAAGCCGAGTTGGACAACACGTCGAGTTACTAAAAGACATTGTTTTGTAACGTATTGTATACAAGATTTTTTCTACTGGTTTTTCATAATAAAAAAACACAATTTTATTCCATGTGAATAGGCCGATTACGCCCAAAATCTTTGTTACCTGCTTTTGCTCGACACCTGAAACTTTTCATGCGATTTTTTTTTCAAGATTCGACATCAATAATTAAAATCCTAGAAAGTAGGTAACAACACAAAGTTCTGTTTTGATTAACCCAAACGTTCAATTCAGTAATTCCATTTTCAATATTCATCATAAATACAAAACAAAATTCAAATATGTGTTTAGTGTGTTTTTTATTTCTGAATATTGAATGACACATTTAGGCACTAGTGCTTAAAAATTACTTTTACGCACTCAAAAGTCACTTTTACGCATTCAAAAGTCACTTTTACGCACTGAGTGCTTAAAAGTAACTCTCACGCACTCAGTGCTTAAAAGAATGTCGTTTCAAAACTAAAATGACAATCGAAAAGTTGCTATTATGAAACGTCAGTAGAAAAAGTATTTTGTTAGACCAAAAGTTCTTTACCTATACCAGGTGTTTTTTTAAATTGGGGTTTTCCTTTCAAAATGACATAGAACTTGAAAAAAGCATGCTTAACATGAGAAAAAGCTTCCAAATTTTATTTGAACCTTTAAATTAACTTTTCCTCAAAGAGGAAACTTCAATTCATAAATCCTGAAAGTTTCATGTCACTGTGATTATCAGTACTTTGCACAAATGATTCTTGTATATTTTAGCGGAGCGTTTACTGTTCTGTAGTGAGATCCCTTTTGGAATATGCTACCCCAATTTGGTCACCACATTATGGGGTCCATATAAATTGTGTTGAGGGAGTTCAGAAACGGTTTCTAAGGTATATTGCCTATAAGATGCATATACCATCAGAAGAGGTCTGCTACAATGACCTGTTGCGGTTGCTGGGTCTTTCTAGTTTAGAGGCACGTAGAAGGAATTATGATATTTGTTTACTTTTCAAGTTGCTTAATAACTTAATTGACTGTCCCTCTTTGTTGAACAGCATTTCCCTGCGTGCCCCTGTGAGACAGACTAGGCAAGTGCATTTTTTTCATAGCGAGTATCATAGGATTAATTATGTTTTTTTCTGCCCTATGGCTAGAATATGCAGAGAAGCTAATCAGCTACCCAACAATTTTGATTTTTTTGGCATGTCTCTGAAAACTTGTAAACATTTGTTAAATAGTCTGCAGCGCTAAATGTCAGTGTATTTATATGTACCGTAAATGTTAAATTTTAAGTTCTTGTGTTTTTCGTTAATATTATAACGTCATATATTTTTGTATTATGTTATTTACTGTAAATGGCTTGTCCGTTAATAAAGTTTATTCTTATTCTTTAATAATTATTACATGCATTACTGCCTCGATTATTACATTACCTTGGGAAAAAGTTTCCAAATTTAGTTCGGAGCTTCAAATCCACTTCAAATTAACTTTTCCATATGAAAAAAAGTTTTAAGTCACTATGATCATTAAAAGTATTTTGGCGAAGTGATTTTTTGCATGCATTAACACATTAATTCAAAAACTCCTCATTTTTAAATCAGAACAACTTATTAATGTGTTACCTACCTAATTGCTGCAGAACTCTAACAGCACTTCCCGCAGGGGTTCAAAAATGAGTAGAATTCAATTTACTCATGAAATGTACTTTTCTCATTAGTCGAAAATTTCATTTATTTTCAGTGGAATTTCAATAGGATTCTGTAGAATTCCAGTAAGATTTTGTGGGATTTTTTTTAGTGTACACATTTTTCAAACTAGTTTACTCCTCAGTACATCCTAAAATAAAGGAGAATCCTGTACATTTTTATCGAAGAAAAAATTGGAAAAAGTGGGAATTATTCCTGAAAGAGAACCCTGAAGAATTTTCTACTTACTTCGTCACTACGTCTACTTTAGGATACTTTTTTAGGGATAATTCCCACTTTTTTTCAATTTCCACTTTTCTAAAAATCTATAGGATTCGCCGAGGGATTCCCCTTACTTTCAGGTTGCATGTTGTAATATGTATGACAATAGTACATCAATTCATAAGATTTCATTTTATCGCACAAGCCCTTTATTAGAAAACGAGCCGGAGGCGAGTTTTCTAAAGGGCGAGTGGGATTATTATAGAATTCATAGAGTAAAAACTGCCATATCTTTCCTTGCACTAAAGATTTTCAATTTATTGCCACTTTCTACAAAGGTGTTAAAATACCTGCAAAAGATTACATGTCATTGGTGAAGAGATACCTAATCAAGAAGTTCTTTTATTCCATCGATGAATTCTGTAACAATGATTTCTCAGACATTCTTGAATGAACAAAATGTGTCATCATAAAAATAGAGTCAAAATTGTTGTCAGTATTGTAGATGATAGTAATTAGATGCCTCAATGTTTATATTTATTTGTTTATTTATATATTTTCTCCTGTAATTGTTTGAAATTTGTACCTTTTCAATAACCTGCATAAGTGAAAACTTGACAAGTGTAAACATTTTTGTAATGTATTTTGGCATGAATAAATATTGTATTCTTGTAGAAATCTATGAAAAAAGGATGTCACGAAAATTGAAAAATCCAAAAATCTTACCTATCACATCTTCAAAAAAATGTGTCGAATTACCAATAACTCTATATCTCAAATTAGAATTTTGTATGAATGATGTTATATGATATGGTGTAATTAAATTGAATTAAATGTCCATTAAAACCCCATTCGAGACCCAACTACTTAGGTATAGAAGTTGAAAAGTGAAATTTCCTAAATCAGCTTGAGTGTTAATTTTTTCTAAAAAACTCACCATAAATGTTTACAGAATTATACACTTTATAGTATTTAGGTAACCATGACATTTTTATGTAGTACATTTAAGTCAAGGTTTCTAAAGTTCATAGGTTGTCTGGTACTTAATGGGTAACTTGATGACGCATCTGCGGTGCCTTATGGAGATTTGCATTATGTTGAAGCACCCCAGATGATATTATAAAGTTATCAAGCAACCTACCTCTGACATAGGTATAGTTGCATTCAAGTATCATTTTCTATATAATTTCCTTTAATGAGTAGATGTTACATTTAACATGAAATAAAAAAGATAGGTATAGTATATGTTGTAGGTATATTTTTAATATTCATAATAAGTATATATTTTCCAAGAGGTAAACCATCCCGCTCGAATTTGTGTAAACAATTCCTTAAACTTTCTGCCAAATTCCCCAAAAATTCCTTCACATTGCCTACAAATTCCTCCAAACTCTTCACAAATTCCCTACAAATGCCTTTTACAAATTACTTAAAAATCCCCAAAATTGTTTTTGATAAGAAATGTATTTTTCTATTTCTTATATGTTCAGTGTTGAAACCAATAAATTCCCCCAATTTCTCAAAAATTCCTCCAATAATTTTTTTTAATATCCCCGCATATTCCTCCAAATTCCACACAATTTTTTCTAAATTCCCCACAGTTTTGAAGGAGTACCTATTCCTAGGTGTTTTGCTTCCAATGGGTGAACAGATCTAGCAGAAAGTGTACAAAATCAGGTGCAAAACACAGTAACACAGGACTTAACACTCGACTTGACAAGACCTGGCAGACCCCTAGGAGTTCTCAGCAGAATCCATACAGTACTTGGCAGGACTTACCAAAAATTACATTTACTGGTTTGCAAAATTAACTGCAGGACATGACAGGAAATTACATGACGTACAGCAGGACTTTGCAGTACTTGGTATGACCCATAGGCATGACCTATACACATTCTATGCTATACACAACTTGGCAAGACTTGGCAGGACTTGTCAGAAATTATATTTACTGGCTTTCCACATTTATATTTTGCGTCTTCATCTTTCCCAATTGTAATTCAGAAAAACACAAATGTATTTCAGAAAACCTCAATTGTAATTCACATTATTCAAATGTAATTCAGAAAACTTCAAGTGTAATTTAGATTTTTTAAATTTAATTCAGAAAACCGCACTTGTAAATCAGATTTTTTAAATATAATTCAGAAAATTTCATTTAGTCCGCTCTGGTTCTCAGAAACCTGTGTATGTACTCACATAGATAGCTACAGGGTTTCTGAACTGTGAATAAAGGGATGTTTAATTACATTATTCTATACATTTCAAACCAACGAAAATGTTCTAAATTACAAATGAGATTTTTTGAATTATTACATTTGAGAAATCTGAATTACAAATGGGATTTTCTGAATTTCAGTTGTGATTTTTTGGATTACAAATGAGATTTTTTTAATTACATTTGGAACATCCGAATTACAAGTGAGATTTTCTGAATTGCATTTGAAAAATCTCAAATAAATGTGAGATTTTCCAAATCACATTTGAAAAATCTGAAATACAAGTGAGATATTCTCAATTACATTTACAGGTGATTTTGTGTAAAATAAACGGTGGTTATTCAGATCTGCCTTTTTTTTGCGTTAAAACAGGACGAGAGGCAGGACCTGACAGGACTTTGCAGCACCTGACAGGACTTTGCAGGACCTGGCCGGACTTGACAAGGCTTGGCAGGTCCTGACAGGACTGAACAGGACTTGAATAATTGCGTTTTAGGCATGAGGTGTTCAAAGTTTATGAATCTACTCATCCCTCGTTTGCTCCTTAAAAGTGAACGATCAGAAGGAACTTTTTATTTTTCCCTAAATTTCAATCTTTTCTTCATCCACTTGCAAAATTTCAAGCCAATCCCGCAAACACTTTCCTCGAAAAAAAATAAAATGTCTGTGGATGTTGTTTTTTGAAGCTTGATTTTTTCCAAAATGACCTTGAACCACATTTTACCTCACATTTTTATTACTCTCCTGCATTTGTGCAAACAATTCCGGAAACTCCTCGCAAGTTCCTCCTAAGTCCTTAAAAATTCCTCCAAACTCCTTGCAAATTCCCTGTAAATGACTGTTATACAAAGTTTGACATAAATCCCTAACATTTTATCTAGATCCTCAACCAATAAACAAACTAAATTACCCGCCAATTACTTCCACATCTTAACAAAACCCATATTTTCTTTTTCAGCCACAACACCAGAACAAAACAAAGACACAAACCGCCTAACCAAAACCCCCAGCATTGAAAAACCCTCAATCCCCGATAAAAAAGAAACCCAAATCGATGGCACCCCGAAAGAAACCAAAGACGACTCCAGCAAAGAATCCAGCCCGGATATAATCAAGGAAAGACCAAAAATCAAAGAGCTAGATGGCTATGTAGGCTTTGCAAATTTGCCCAACCAAGTGTACAGAAAGGCAGTTAAAAAAGGCTTCGAATTCACTTTGATGGTGGTGGGCGAATCAGGCTTGGGCAAAAGCACCCTTATAAATTCAATGTTTCTTACGGAAATTTATAATTCAACTGATTATCCTGGTCCCACTCAGAGACTGAAAAAAACCGTAGCAGTAGAAACCACTAGGGTGATGCTAAAAGAAAACGGTGTTAATCTTTTGCTCACAATGGTAGATACTCCAGGATTTGGAGACGCTGTTGACAACAGTAATTGCTGGGCTCCCATAATTGAATACATCGAAAGCAAATATGAGGATTACTTGAATTCTGAAGCAAGGGTAACAAGACAAATGTCACCTGACCAACGAGTACATAGCTGCTTGTATTTTATACAACCATCTGGACATGGACTAAAATCTTTAGACATAGAATTCATGAAAAGACTGTGCGATAAAGTTAATATTATACCTGTCATTGCCAAGGCTGACACGCTGACTTCAGAGGAATGTGCTTTATTCAAGAAACAAATAATGAATGAAATTGCCCAACATAAAATCAAGATTTATGAGTTTCCAGAAACTTCAGAAGAAGATGAAGAGCACAAGTTGAATAAATCATTAAAGGAGCGTGTTCCTTTTGCGGTTGTTGGCTCAAATTGCGTCATAGAAAACGACGGTAAAAAAACTCGCGGTCGCAAATACCCCTGGGGCATTGCAGAAGTAGAGAATCTCGAACACTGTGATTTTATAGCGCTAAGGAATATGGTTATTCGGACTCACTTGCAAGATCTCAAAGATGTCACCAATAATGTCCACTATGAAAACTACAGGTGCAGAAAATTAGCTGGGTTAGGGGCAGATGGAAAACCTTCCAGGATTTCAAATAAAAATCCACTGGCTCAGATGGATGAAGAGAAGAGGGAGCATGACAATAAGATGAAAAAAATGGAAATGGAGATGGAACAAGTAAGAATTTTATTTTGATTTTATAAATTGTTTATTATTATTGTAGAAAGTAACATTCAAATAAATTACATAAATTTTTTTTTCAAGGTTTTTGAAATGAAAGTCCGTGAAAAGAAACAAAAACTAAAAGACTCTGAAGCCGAACTAACAAGACGTCACGAAGCTACCAAAAAGCAACTAGAACAGCAAGCAAAGGAATTAGAAGAAAAACGAAGACAATTTGAGCTGGAGAAAGAATCCTGGGAGAAAGACAACCAAGTGACCATTGAAGATTTGAGAAGACGAAGTTTGGAAGGCTCAAGGGAAACTGTGGACGGCAAAAAGGAGAAAAAGAAGAAGGGATTGTTTTAAGTTGTGTTGACAAAAGTGAGTTGTACATTTTCAGCTGCATGACAAATTTAGTGTACTCCTAACCTAGCGAGCAGCGGAACCAATTATTAACAGTTTTGCATTTAGCTTTTTAGGTATTTAAATTTAAGATAAGTTATAATATAATGATTATATTATTAAGACAAGAAAAATTTAGAACTCTTATTGAAGAAGGCTGTTTCTTATCTCTTATAATAATTTCAAATATTATAATTATGGCATTGATTAGTAGTTGTATTTCTTTTTTGTAGTCAAAACCAAAATTACATTCCGTTTTTTTTTTTTTTGTACTTTTTATATTTAGAGTTACTTGACATGTTTGCCAAAAAATTGTTATGCCATATTTTCAATTAGTGTATTAAAAGTCCAAATTCATAAAAAATAAACTGCCATAATACATAATACGTAATTTTTAGGCAACAAAAATATAGCTAGTGTTTCCTTTGAAGAAAAATATATTATATAGCTTGAAAACTTTTTAAGTGTTTAGATGTAATAAAGAGACTTGGCTTATAGAGCTCAATAACAATTTCCTATATTTAAAAATAAACAATATAAATGTATGTATTAATTAATTATTATTGAATGAAACCTGGTATATTTGAAGATTATAATGAATGTTAGCAAAAATACAAAATTAACAGTGCATATTAGAATTATTAATGCTCTCTTCAATTCTTTTTTTAGGAAAAAGTTATTTTGTGTGCCATTGGAATGTAAGTTAAAAATATATGTTGTATTATAGAATTAAAGGAGATTTTAAATATATTTATTTTTAATTTCTATTGAGTGGATTTTTGATTCATGTGTATTGCAAATACTTAATTTATAATCCATGTCATTAGAATCCCACACTCGTGTAGTTTCAATATAAATATTCACTTGAGTAACTTCCCCAAGTGTTCCACCCACTTGAAAGGAATACCTTGTTTATTTCTTCAAGTGAATTTAAATTACATCCCAAGTACGGTGTTAATTATGTTTGTTTGCTTTAGAAATTGGATTTTTATGTTTGTTGTGGCCTATTTTTTTATTGCCTACTAGTCTAATGGAAATGCATATTTTCCAATCATGAAGGAAGGAGGATTCACTTAATTACGTCGGTCAATTCATTATCTGAAATTCTAAATATTGATAATAATAAGTCAATATCCGCCTATGGAGATTATTTTAATCTATACTTAATTTATTATGCCATCAGGTGTCGGTTTTCAGTTTCATAGAAATGATTAAATTAATATTATTTCCTGTTGGCACTCAATCAATACAGTGTGTCAAAGTTTGAAAAAGCAATCAATCTTTTAGTTCCTATTTCCATTTTCTTCAGGTTTGTTTGTAATAACACAAGGTACCTTCTGACTCATCTAGATTTACCAAAATTATTCCACTGACGCCCCAGAGGGGACGTTGGTGAAAATAGAAAAAAAAAATGGCACGTTACTGAGATTTTTAGCTTAATAACCGTTATAAGATTTGGATGGTTCGTTGCGATCCTCCAAACTTCATACACAAAATTATTTTGAGATTTGAAGCCAGATTCTATGAAAAAAGACACTCAAGAAAATTGAAAAATTGATACAAATCACCCCAAATTGCTTAACACGATTTTATTTCTGGTACTAAAGTCCAAATGAGCTGAAATTTTCAGGGATTGTAGTTCTCTACTGAGATAAGAATCGCTACCTCAGTACTGAAACGATGAAATTCCAATTTTTTCGCCCCCCCCCCCCCATGGTCCCGTCCCTGAAAAAGGCATTCAGAAAAATTGGAAAAATCGATAAATCACCCCAAATTCCTTAACACTATTTTATTTCTGGAACCAAACGTCCAACTGAGCTGAAATTTTCAGGGATTGTAGTCCTCTACTGGGATAAGAAAATTTCAGCTTTTCATCTCCAATACAAAAAAAGTTATGACCTTTCAAAGTTTTCCATAATCTAAATCATAAGGTAGCTATCTTAGTACTAAAACGATGAAATTCTGATTTTTTTTTTTTTGTTGAGATTTTGTCTCTCAATGGTCCTTTGGGATCCCCCAGACTCCATACACTAAATTATTCTGGCCAAACTTTAACACCCTGTATTTGGAAAACTATTCATTCGCGAATCCAAAGTTAATAGACATTTATTTTTCAAAAGTTTGATCCCACTATTCAGATTCACCCTGTATAATTAAGCTATTTATAGTTAAAATCATCCTTTGTTTCTCTTTATTTATTGGTCAATGGTTGATGCAATTATTGCTGATTAATTTATCATTTGCCTGACCTCCATCGCAAAATTCCTTAGTTGTTTAGCTTCCAATTAAAACTATTATTTATAATAAAATAGGATTGGGATTTCAAAAGTGAACAAATTGAAATTATTGGAACAATACAGTTTTCTGTAAACGAATTGTGTATAGTTTTGCCGCTCATGGATAGATGGCAGCACTGCAAAAAATTAAAAACAATACAGCCTATAGAAAGATGTTTTGCAATTAAAATTTATGATTATAATAATTGCAGAGTTGTATTTTAATTCAAATAATTAAAAATAATTGAAAATTAATTACTAGTCTTTATTGATTATTTTTATCCTTGCAATTTTTTGATTATTTAGATTGATTGTCAATAGATGGCGCCACAGTCACATACACAAAAATAAGAAGTTGATTTGGGTTTTCGCATGGAATTGAGACTTGAGTCGTTGACTTACAAACCATACATTATTTTCGAGACATATGTGATTCATTCTGCATAGACGCTCATATTAAATTGATATATTTAAACGCTAGACTCTGAACCATGACTTGGAATATTTGAACTTTTAGTATAAGTACTTATATGATAATTTTAAAATACTTACCTACAATAGATTTTGAAGATCAAAAACTTAAAAATAGACCTAATACTTGATACTCTTTAGCCAGATTAACACAGTTCAAAGTATACTTGCATCAAGTACCTTTTGGACGCTGGGCGCACCTCACTTGGTTGATACTTAAGATCTGTTCTCACAAAAGTCTCTGACAGTTTGCATACTGTCAGTAAGCATCACCTATACATGTTTTCAATGCCGTCAATACAACATAAATCGTTAAGTGATTGTTTCTGACAGGTTGCAAACTGTCAGAGACTCCTGTGAGAACAAACCTTTAGATTGTATCCTTACCAGACTGGCTGCCAACTTACTATTGGTTCGTGTTCTCATCGAAGTGCACTTGGACCATGTCAACTGAGCTTTAAGCTGGTTCACACAGTCCAAGTGTACTTGGATCAAGTACCCTTGAACTAAACTTGGATTGTATCAACTGCTTATCCAAGACAAGTTGGATTGGTTCTAACATTAAGTTGGCTGCCAACTCAATTGGATTAAAGCTTGGACCAAGTAAGTTGGCAGCCAGTCTGTTATTGAACCTGAACTTGAATTTGGACAAGCAGTTGATACAATACAAGTATTGTCCAAGTGAGGCGCGAGCAGCGTCCTTAGGGTACTTGGTTCAAATACATTTGGACCATGTCAACCGGGATTTAAAAATAAAAAAAGACACAACCCCCCAACATGGATATTCAAATTTTGATAACTACCAGCTGTAAAATAGTTTTTTAGCCAATCAAAAATTTGATTATTTACGGCTCTTCGATTGACTCTACTGTTTAGCAAATCAAAGGATAGTTTTACTACAAACTTTGATTATGTTGGACAAAGTTTTCTAGAATCAATCAAAAGCCGGTAATAGTCCAAATTTTAACAGTGCGGATAATTTTCTTACAGGAAATCAGAAGTTACTAAAAATATGTATATTTATATCAACATATCGCTATTTTATGATTAAATGTGGGATGAAAGAACTTAATTGAACCACTTACCTTTCGGACATAACAAGCTTGCGGATGATGTTTAACAGGCATAAAGAACAGTCGCAACCTATCAAAGAGTTGAATACCATCAATTGAAGCCACCCCCATATACAGAAATATACCAAAAAGTACAGCCATTGGTACCAATCTTAGTAATGGAGACATAAATACTGATAAACCTAAACCATACAAAAAATGTATTAAATTTCCAAATCAAAAACCAATATTCTTACCGATTAAAATCGCTACGCACAAACTGGTCAAACGTTGTTCCTTGACTTCAATCAAAAACGGTTTTTGTCCGGGAGCGTGAGTCCTAGACATCACAGTCAAAGCGCTGGTATGCGCTATACTACGCACAGTAGCTGCACACATCCACGGAAATCCGAAAAAGCCACACAAAATATTAGTCAAGGACAACAAAACTATGTCCAGATGATACCCTGCCCCCTTTTGCAATTTACGTTCTTTTTTGTCAAGAATCAATCTAAAACAATTATTTGTTATAATTTTGGGAGACAAATAATCAAGTATCTTACTCGCAAATGTGTGTCTCCATAAACAACAAAATATAAACCAGCATTGCGGGTACTACAGAAGCCCACATAGCCCACATGGGCAATGGTTTTTCGATGCCTCCTGGTGGTATGAGCCAACCTCTGAAGTCTGGAGATGACGGCGAAAGCCCTTCAGGCACGTTAAGTTTTTCAGTGAAAATCTCTGGTGTCATAAAGTCTAGGAAAACCATACAAATTATTGCTATCGGAACTCCAAAGTCGCCCAGAGCACGTCTGGCTGAACGGCCAAGGAAATGACTGTTTCTGAAGATTTTTAAATAATAAGCTATTGCAAAGGTGCCCAAAGTTAGGATGGTACAAAATAAAGCAGTATTTGGTTGGTTGATTCGTCCAGTACGGTCATAGCCAGGGACTTTTTCTTGATGACTCACTGGAATAAGAATGTCTGTAATGTTTAAAGTAGGGTTTTCTTGGATTAGTGTATCATTTTCAGAAGCATTTCTGTAAAAATGAAATAATTAGTAATAGTTGCCATTGTGTTTAAAAAATTGTTACCTGAATGAAGTCACTTCAAATTCACAATAATTGGCTAAAATCGGATTTCTAGTGTACACAAAAAATACTTTCTGTATGCTCTCGATAATATACAGTAGCACTATAAGGGCGGAAAATATATCTTCGGTGAATCTGCTAAAAAGTTTCACCAAAACGCTGCCTTCAAAAGCGGCCACTACAATTCCTATTATGCCTAGCCATAGCCCAATATAGACTCGTATAGTTAAAAATTCAAATCCTTGCGATTGACAAAATTGAAATAAACTTTCATCAAGAAGCAATAAAGGACCTAAAATAAAAATAATTATTATTGGTTGTAGTAGGTGCACAGGCATGATACCACACACCTGTAGTTCCAACAATAATCAACGGTTGTCCGCAAAAAATAGCAAACAAAACTCCAGCAACGCACGTAGCCAATAAAGTCTCACTGATACCGATTTGATTTTCGGTTTTCAGCCCCATCAAACCTCCAAAAGCGATGGCCCCACTTACAGCAGCAAAATACATAAAAATTGAGGCCGCTGCACATTGAGCATCCAGGCCGTCAGTAATATCACTAAGATAATGAGGATAGCGACGCTTTAGGTCGTTTATTAAACCACCCCATGGACGTTTGGTACGTTCCAGGGGATCTTTGAAGGGTGGTTTCTTTTCGCCACCGTCTGAGACTAACAAAGGCTTGGTGATACCTGATAATAAACATAATAATTACTGATATGGATAGTGTTAAGAGCAAAGAAGAGTTCAAAATTGAATTTTCCAGTCAAGGTACTACCATGTGTGCAGTGTGTTCAAAAAAAAATCATGTGTTGCGCGGTACATGTGGTAGAAGTAAAACTTCTTAAAAACCATCCCCCTCATACACGTCACAAGGGTATTGGCGCTTAACAATAATAGGCAATCTTCCTTTATTAGCTATCTTTCTTCGTCGCTCTACGTTATACAGTGTTTCCCACTTTTCATGAATACACCCTGATATCTCAGTTATTAATAATGCGATTTTATTCAAATTTTGGTGGTGATGGTATGTTAGAAAAAAAAAACACCGCACGCCAATGGTAAATGAAAATTGTTATTATGTCAAATTTTAGTTCATTTTTTTAACATACAATCTCCACCAAAATTTGAATAAAATCGCATTATTAATAACTGAGATATCGGGGGTGTATTCATGAAAAATGGGACACACTGTATATTCCTTCTCTGTCGAAATTTCTTAAAACGTGACGCGTCTTTCAAATCACTCTTCATTCTCATCTAATTATCACATCGTTGCCTAAGAAGTTCTCATTTCAAAATAAATCATACCCATTGAGTTTTATCGAGAATAAATTTCTCAAACAAATAAATCCATCAAACCCATATCTTTGTTAAATTTCAAGCAAATTGAAATAAATTATATACCATTGGAAACAGCATTAAATTCTCTATAAATCTGTGCAAAATTTAGTTTGATTGCTTAAATAGTTTTTGAGCAATTGAGCCTCAAACTTGACTTTTAGTTTAAATTTTGTCAAAAACTTCAAACTCAATTTGCTCAAAAACTATAAATCTGGAAATATTGTAAATTACAGGCCATTTGGAGCTTAATAAAGGCTACAGATGCTGGAAATTTCAATGCAATTTGGTTAACGGTTACCGTGCAATTGAGGTTTGAATATTTTGAAATCAGAATTCAAAGGGGGTACCCTTTATGAAAAACTCGATTTTTTTATTTTTCAGTTTTGCTCAATTATGACTTTATTATTCGATAGAGCGGTTCAAAATTAGAGGAAAACAACCCTAACATCAATTCCAAATAGTCATTTCAAGTAGAAACAAAAATAAAAAGAAAATCCTATTTTTGGCTCTCGAAAATTTTCAAAATTTTGACATGGTCATGAGCAATTGCCTATATCTTTGGTAAATTTCAAGCAAATTCAAATAAATTATATACCATTGGAAACAGCACTAAATTCTCTATAAATCTGTGCAAAATTTAGTTTGATTGCTCAAATAGTTTTTGAGCAATTGAGCCTCAAAGTTGACTTTTAGTTCAAATTTTGTCAAAAACTTCAAACTCAATTTGCTCAAAAACTATAAATCTGGAAATGTTGTAAGTTACAGGCCATTTGGAGCTTAATAAAGGCTACAGATGCTGGAAATTTCAATGCAATTTGGTTAACGGTTACCGTGCAATTGAGGTTTGAATATTTTGAAATCAGAATTCAAAGGGGGTACCCTTTATGAAAAACTCGATTTTTTTATTTTTCAGTTTTGCTCAATTATGACTTTATTATTCGATAGAGCGGTTCAAAATTAGAGGAAAACAACCCTAACATCAATTCCAAATAGTCATTTCAAGTAGAAACAAAAATAAAAAGAAAATCCTATTTTTGGCTCTCGAAAATTTTCAAAATTTTGACATGGTCATGAGCAATTGCCTATATCTTTGGTAAATTTCAAGCAAATTCAAATAAATTATATACCATTGGAAACAGCACTAAATTCTCTATAAATCTGTGCAAAATTTAGTTTGATTGCTCAAATAGTTTTTGAGCAATTGAGCCTCAAACTTGACTTTTAGTTCAAATTTTGTCAAAAACTTCAAACTCAATTTGCTCAAAAACTATAAATCTGGAAATGTTGTAAATTACAGGCCATTTGGAGCTTAATAAAGGCTACAGATGCTGGAAATTTCAATGCAATTTGGTCAACGGTTACCGTGCAATTGAGGTTTGAATATTTTGAAATCAGAATTCAAAGGGGATACCCTTTTTGAAAAACTCGATTTTTTTATTTTTCAGTTTTGCTCAATTATGACTTTATTATTCGATAGAGCGGTTCGAAATTAGTGGAAAACAACCCTAACATCAATTCCAAATAGTCATTTCAAGTAGAAACAAAAATAAAAAGAAAATCCTATTTTTGGTTCTCGAAAATTTTCAAAATTTTGACATGGTCATGAGCAATTGCCTATATCTTTGGTAAATTTCAAGCAAATTCAAATAAATTATATACCATTGGAAACAGCACTAAATTCTCTATAAATCTGTGCAAAATTTAGTTTGATTGCTCAAATAGTTTTTGAGCAATTGAGCCTCAAAGTTGACTTTTAGTTCAAATTTTGTCAAAAACTTCAAACTCAATTTCCTCAAAAACTATAAATCTGAAAATATTGTAAATTACAGGCCATTTGGAGCTTAATAAAGGCTACAGATGCTGGAAATTTCAATGCAATTTGGTCAACGGTTACCGAGCAATTGAGGTTTGAATATTTTGAAATCAGAATTCGAAGGGGCCTAGGTACCCTTTATGAAAAACTCGATTTTTTTATTTTTCAGTTTTGCTCAATTATGACTTTATTAATCGATAGAGCGGTTCAAAATTAGAGGAAAACAACCCTAACATCAATTCCAAATAGTCCTTTCAAGTAGAAACAAAAATAAAAAGAAAATCCTATTTTTACTCTCGAAAATTTTCAAAATCTTGACATGGTCATGAGCAATTGCCTATATCTTTGGTAAATTTCAAGCAAATTGAAATAAATTATGTACCATTGGAAACAGCATGAAATTCTCTATATATCTGTGCAAAATTGACTTTGATAACCTAGAAAGTTTTTGAGGAATTGACCCTCAAAGTTGACTTTTAGTCCAAATTTTGTCAAAAACTTCAAATTCAATTTGCTTAAAAACTCTAAATCTGGGAATACGGTAAATTACAGGCCATTTAAAGATCAATAAAAGCTACAAATGCTAAAAATTTCAATGCAATTTGCTCAACAGGTTTGAGGTTTGACTATTTTGAAATCAGAATTCAAAGGGGGTACCCTTATGAAAACTCAATTTTTTGAAGTGAAACTTCTCAGGCGGCTGTCTGATATTTAGACGAGAATGGAGAGTAATCTAAAATACGCGTCACGTTTTGGCAAATATCATTAAACGAGAGAGAAAAAAATATATGTAGAGTGTAGAGGGTCAGAGAAAGGCAGCTAATGACAATGAACGATTCACACAAACCAATTTGAACTATTATTGTCATGCGCAGGGGCGCCCGCAGAAAAATATGTAGGGGGGGTCAAAATCAATTGGATAAATTTTTTAGGCGTAAAAAAGGGCACTTCAGTCTAAATAATCATCATAAATAAATATTTATATAAAAAAACTTGAAACATTCTTTCTATCTAAAAAATCAGCAATTCGGAGATACTTAGGTATACAGGGTGACAATTTGGAAAGTAGCAATCGGCAATATCTCTTAGTCAAAAAATACTATCAGGAAGATCTCAAATACATATTGGGGGATTGGAGGGGGAACCAAAATAAGGCACTTTTCGAGCCTCACCCCTTAGGGGGTAGCTACCCAAACTTATTTTTTTTAAATACAAACCTGCCTTGTGTTGCACATCGTTCGATAGCTCGTTGCTTTCCCTTTACTGTCTTATAGCAAAATCTTAAATCGTACGAACATTTTTGAAAAATATACCATTTCCAACAGTATTTTAGAAAGCTTCCATTGTATTTTAGAATAGTCATTTGTATTTAAAAAATTTATTCCATTATTCATGGGGGATTTCTAAAATACAAATGAGAAAATGACTATTCTAAAATACAATTGAAGCTTTTTAAAATACTGTTGGACATGGTAAAGTAATTTTGACTATCTCTAACCAAAAAAAATCTGTCATAAAAGTCTCCGATACACATCGACCAAATAATGTGTTTATTGTAATTCTATCTGCTTCTGCATGCCTCCAAAAAGCAATAAAAAACCTTCCAAAGGAGGTATCACATGAGGTAGTTTCTCATTCTACACCATTTCAACCTCAATTTCGGAAAAAGTAACTTTTATTTAGGAAAATGTAAATTCAAATTCGGAAAAAGTAAATTCAAATTCGGAAAAAATACATTCAATTACGGAGAAAATATTGTTATTTTTCATAGAATTGGTATTTTGAATTGATTGAGTCCTTTATCTATTTAGAAAATCAAAAAAATTGTCCATATTTCTCAAAGAGACCCGATTTTTGAACCATAAAAGAAAGAAAAAAATTATCAAGTCTACGAAATAAAAGAATCAGATATTGAATTAATAGATCCAAATAAAGGAATATTTATAAAGGAAAAAGAACATTCGAGTGACATCAATTTATCAAGACAAGATGTTATTAGGAAGTTTCAATGTTACACTTGCAATGCTACATTTGAAACCAAATCAAATTTGAAACATCATTCAATAACACATTTGGATATTTGTCCTTTCGAATGTAACACTTATAAACTGGAAAAAAAAATTAGTTACAGCGACACATATCAACACTCTTGGATATTTTTCCTTTTAAATGTGATACTGGTAAGAAAAAATTTAAAGGAAAAGGTGATTTGAACGCACACATATTAACACACTCGGGCGAAAAGAATTTTAAATGCAATATTTGCAAAGCAGAATTTGAAAGAAAAGGCAGTTTGAAGAGACACAAACTAACCCACTTGCATGAGAAGAAATTTAAATGCAACATATGCAATGCAAAATTTAAAGAAAAATGTAAATTAGCAAAATTTAAACAAAAAGGTAATTTGAAAAGTCACATATCAACACACTCGGATGAGAAGAATTTTAAATGTAACATTTGCAATGCAAAATTTAAAAGAGAAGGCGATTTGAAGGAACACAAACTAACACATTCGGGTATTTATCCATTTGAATGTGACACTTGCAAGGCAAAATTTAAACAAAAAGGTAATTTACAAAGGCACATTTCAACACACTCGAATATTTATCTTTTTAAATGTGACACTTGCAATGCAAAATTTAAGTAAAAACATACTTTGAAAAGCCACATATTAACACAGATTGTTTATTATTTGATTTACTTAATAGTGACATGTGTTTCGCTCCGGGATCCTTGAATTTGGCCACAAAATTCATCTGTTCCGGAATAAGGAAAAGGGTGACAATTTTACGATAGTTGGACTCGGCCCAATCGGTTATCGGGTAGGTGGATATTTTATGGCCCATCGGCCATCGGTATCAATATGCGAATCGGTACACTGAGATATAGGCTTGAGCATTAAATATAAAAAAAAAAGAATTCAGAAATCGGTAAATCGTTACATAATTGTTTCGGAATGATGTTTTTGGAGAATCAAGAAGTTAGCGATTTCTTTGTTTTTGAGTTGTTAGCTATTCAGCTGAATCACGAAGTTCTAGTTAAATTTCCAAATTATCTCATCGACACATGGCACATGCCTCGATAGACCTGGATAAGACAACAAATGCCTGTGAATCTTTCCATAGTCATTTTGGTAGATCTTTTTATTTTGCGCATCAAAATACATATTTACACTTTTTTAGATTTATTAACTCATATGCAATGCGAAATCTGTCAACATCATAAGGTAAGTTTTATGAGCAGTAGGTTGGGTTTCATGATTTGGCCGAATTCAAAGGTAGGATTACTGCAGCTACCTGGTATGTGGCCGAATTCAAGTATGCCCGTTTCGCTCATACGAGCATCATCGGACCTACAAAATAATATATATAGAAACATTATTACGGGCGACTAGCCCCCTAGACAAACGGGGCGGGGGTTAGGCAATAAACATATTTGGTTTCCTCTGTGTATTTGAGACTTTTATGACAGAATTCTTTTCAGTAAGAAATAGTCAAAATTAATAGTTTTCAAAAGTGCTTACTTTTGAACATTGATATCTCAAAAACTAATCGTACGATTTAGATTTTGCTATAAGACTTAAACGAGCTATCCAACGATGTGCAGCACAAGGTAAGTTACTATTAGAAAAAAAAGTAATAAGTTATGGAAGCTACCCCCTGAGAGATGAGGCGGGGTGCCTCATTTTAGTTCCTCGTTCAATCCCTCAATTCCCCCGATAGTATTTTTTGTCTTAAGAGATATTCCCGATTACTATTTTCCAAATTGTCACTCTAGGTATATGTACGTATATAGTGCGGTGGCATTGGTGGTTGCGTTCCGTTTTCCTATTCCGATATACATTCACGTTTTCTATTTAAAAAAAAAAGTTGCAAAATCGGTCTGCGTTTTAATATTTCTTCTTCAAGGAAAATAATTAAAATTTAAGAAATTTCCAGGGGGAGTCGAGTGACCCCCCCCCCCCTGACATAAATTCTCACCTTGAGCTTCTTGTTCCTTCTTCAAAGCGTTCAACTTCCTACGTTTGATTGCATCACTCTTGGATTTGATTTCTTCTATGGGTAGAAGCGCTTGCCTCTCCCAATCGCCAGGCGGCAACACTATACTGTCGTCCAAAAACTCATTGATGGCGGACAAAAGTTCTTTGCGCGAGTCCGCTTTGTAGGCTATATTGTGGAATTGTTGATTGGCCATCAGAGTAGATATCGAACGACCAACCTGAATATTTATTATCGCTTACATTACATACATAACAAATGCAAATTATTTTTACCTCATGATAGTCAATTGTTGGTAGTTTAGGCCCCAATAATATAAAGATGAACCTCACAGGAATGGTGACTTCAATCAAGGATGGTATAACAACAGGTTCAGCTAATCGGACAAAAGCTATAGCTGGTTGCTCTAAAAAGTCCACGTCTCCAACTAGGACGCTGGCTCCTTGAGCTTCAGCCGGAATTTTCTTCAAAATAGCATCGTTTCTAGCCCTATGGATGTCTTCATTTGAAACCGAGTACATTTCTTCTTTCATATCGATGGCATGGATATCGTTGCCTGGCAAAAGTTTGTGATCGGCGTCTCCATTTTTTAGGCCCGTTTCCGGAAAGCTGATTTTACGCTTTTCAGCATCATAGAGATTCTAAAAAAAGGAGAAAAATAATTGTAGTGTTTTGTTGTAGCTTGTAGCACAAATTGATTCTAAAAGTTACAACTAAGTGAATCTAGTAATGGGACTACAATAATATATAATGGGCATTCTTTATAGAAGTATGAATGATGAATGATTCAATATCTCCAAAAATATTAAAAGGCAAACCAAAAAAATTACTGTTAAAATACATGGTGGAATAAAAACTACACTCAAAAATATGGGGATAAAAATTCTAGCAAAAAACTTTTCATCACTAAACAAGAGGAATAAAAAGGGACAAACTATAAACACCCACATGAGGCGTGAATCCGATTACGGAAAACGACCGACCCTTGACTGCTAAATGGGCGGGGCATATTCGACCTAGTGATGCGCAAGCTGCGCAATGCGACAAAAACGTTGCGTCCAGCTTTGCACTTTCTTCCATCCAATAAGACTGTAAATAATAATAGATTTCATACATTTTTGTATGCGATATCTCTCGAATTATTGGAAAATTTATTTTCTGCAGCCGTTCTATTATTATAAAATAAATAGAGTGGCATTCAAAAATATCGCGTGTCAAATAAATTATTTTACTTGCCTGCAATGAAGTATAGCTGTGCTTGTTTTTGGTGAATCCGAATCTGCGTTCATGTTGTTCGTTTACGTGCCTGTGGCGTACCAAGAGCATTCGCATTAGAGGCCCTTTATCGTTTTCTCTAATAAGGTCTTCTTTAAATAGTTCTTCGGTGACTCTGTAGGCAATTGCTGGCATATCTTTTTCTTCTAAATCCAAAATACACACCTAAAATTAGTTATGGGTAATGAAAAACTTTTAAAAAAAGGAAAGTTTTTACCCCATTTTCCAAACATTTTCTAAGATTGAGTAGAGAATGGAAACTGAGTGAAGCCACATGAGGTTTGCCCCATCTATCCACACCTTCTTCGACGTCTTCTTCGTATTTGATCCATCTAGCTGTTTCTTTCCATTCTTTTTCTGTGTCTTCTTCACTTTTGAGAAGTTCACTGAGCTCCACAAAGATCTATGCATAAAGTTAAAATTATATTTTTAGTATCTAAATATTAAACTCTACCTTATTGAAAAATTTAGCCATAATTGATCTTCACCAAAAGACTACCACAAAAGGATTAAAAATATTTTTCCAATCAAGCAATTTTTTGCACTGGGTCTATGATGGTTATAGCAAATTAAAAATACATTAGGAATTTAGAAAAAGATCATCGAAAATACATATATGCAATTATTATTAAAAAAAAAAAAACCATACCAAATTAGACCTTAATTGTTGACAACAACAATAAATAATTTGCTTTTTTAATGATCGATGATTCTTACCGCGTGAGGGCTGTGATCATAAAGTTTCTTCAGGAAAGGGTGCAACTCTGCACCCTTGCCGATATGCATTATGGAGGCCTTATGACGTCGTAGGCCTTTGGGATCATCGGATCTATGACTGTCCAATTGGTCACGATCGGTTTCAGGGAGTTCTTCGTCTTCAGGCTGAATTGATACCTAAAATTGAGCTGATTGTTAAAAAACTATTTGAGATAAATTATTCAATTTTGTTTTATCTTAAAGGGCATTTGATTCTGATTAAGAATATATAAATACATATTTTCGTATAGTTTTCCATTCGTAAGTCGATCGAGTGTACGCCACTGGTATTTTCCTGATTCTGACTTAACCTTTTCATATTAAAATGAATTCAATCCTATGTACGGTTTTCGAATAATCATACAGTTTTCGTATATTTTCGAATGGTTTTTTATTCGTAGGTTGATCGAGTGTACGTCACTGATATTTTCCTGTTTCTGACTAACTCTCAAGCGTTCCATGTTAATATGAATTCAATCTTATGTACAGGGTGTTTTTTTATATATTGACACCCCATTTACAGCCTTTACCTTTACAGGTAGAAGAAAGGTATAAATACAAAAGTTGTATAGTTTTGGCTGAATTTTTAGAAACCATGGTCAGAAAAGCTATTATGTATCAAGGGGAATATGTAGATTATAATGCCCCAAGGCGAAACTGGCCCGAGAGATATATTTCGCCTGAAGGGCATTATAATCTAAAAATCCCCGTGGTGCATACAATGCTTTATTTTCTACTCAACACAATGTTCTTTCATCAAACAAAATCAGTTAAACTTATGTGATAGAATATTGTTTTGTATTTTGATATGTATCTGTACCTAGAAACGAAATAAATTAATATATCTATAAACATCTCATAAGGCAAGGCAACGGTGGTCGTGTGGGTTAATGCGCTCGACTACTTGGGAAACGTTGATAGTAGACCGGGTTCGAATCTTGGCCATACCGAAAATTATTTTCGGTCGGCCAAGGCTAAAGTGCAAATTAATAAAACGAAAACAACAAAAACACCTCAGGGTATTTTAAGCAGACGTTATAGATGATAACGCCCGCAAAAGCGGGCGTTATGAAGCATAACCCCCGCTGGGCTTATAACGCCCTCAGGTTGTTATAGGTATGTTAACGTATACCGTTTCCTAGGTATTATGGATCTATAATAAAGCATGCAACATTTCACATTTCTGACATTCAATTTTTGTTTCTGACCATGGATTCTAAAAATTTTGCCAATACTGTACAACTTTTGGATTTACAGCTTTTATCTACTTGTAAAAGTGAAGGCTGTAAGTGGGGTGTCCATATATAAAAAAACACCCTGTACTTGAACAATAACTTATTATATAAAGTCAGAATTTGTAAGATTATATATGTTACTTTACCAAACTAGTAACATAATGTGACAAGTTATTCAAGTACAAACGAGTGGATTCTTGCGGCACTTATGGGTGGACCTCTGCGGGACGAGCGCAGCGAGTTCCGCAGTCATCTATTCATTAATATGTTGTTCAAGTAGGTACGACACTAACCTGACTCACTCAAATGTCAGTTATTCTCATTAGTTCAAAAACTAGACGTTTCAGCAGGTGAGTGTCTTATTTGAATAGTTTAACAGTTTATTGGTCAGTGGATGGCTGCGGAACTCGCTGCGCTCGTCCCGCAGAGGTCCACCCATAAGTTCCGCAATAATCCGCTTATTTGTACTTAAACAATAACTTATTATATAAAGTCAAAAGGACTCCGCACACTTCCTATGGGATTTCTGACCGCTGTCAAATTTTAGTATGTTGTAGATCTTACCTTTCTGATCAATAATTACCATGGGCACAACTTAATCCTATGAATAGTTTTTGAGATACAGGGTGTTCAATGTGTGAATGTCCGATATGCATTATAACATCTTGTTCAATCAGTCAAATCACATTCGTGTGAGAATTCGGTCGAGGCATAGAAATCAAGTAAAATACCAATAATTATTTGTGCTCCAACCATAGGTTCATGTACAGGGTGTCCCATTTTGGTTGTACATAAGGAATAATAACTCGGTTTCGCGCACTTTGGCTTCTTTTTTGTCAAACGAAACATAGTGGCAACAGAACAGGGTGTTTTTGAAAAAATTGCATTTTGTGCTTATTGTATTACGGTTCTGTTATAAGCGATCGAAAAGGTGACAACGGATACTTATAGATATTGTTACGTAGACTCCAGTGGCGTAGGCAGTTTTCCTCTAGAAGTGATAGTTTTGATTTTTGAACCAAACATAGTGTTTTCAAATGAGACACCTTATACATATATTTCAAAATCATTGGAAAACTTTATTTTTGCTGATTTCAATAATACAAAATTCGACAGGTTTATCTTAAGTGAGCATTCACACCAAAGTAGCATGCGACGTGCGACATGCTGCTGGAAAGCAAGAAGCATGCTACTTATTTAAGAACCTTTGGAAATATATGGGTATGGTTTGCCACCAGATGCGACATGTGACTTGGGATTGAAACATGTATTATGTAAGTGGGCATTCAAACTAGAGTAGCATGCAATGTGTGACTTGCTGCTAGAAAGCAGGAAGCACGAAAACTATGAAAATATATGATACATGTCGCCATTCCTGTGTGAAACCTGCCATATATTTTTAAAGCTTCTAAAATAAGAAGCATGCTTCTTGCTTCCTAGCAGCAAGTCGCACGTCGCATGCTACTTTGCTCTGAATGCTCACTTACAGGTGCAAAGTTCTTTATTTACAACCACATACGTAATAATGTTGACATTTCTGACTTTTCAAATGTTTAAAAGTGACACTTTTTTGAATTTTACTTTTCTCCCGGGTGAAAAGTGCTCACTTTCCACCCGGGTAGAAAGTAAGCCCTCTTTTCCTAAAATGTTAAAGACAAGTCCTGCATGTCAAACGTTTTTTTACATAAATCAGAACTTGTCAACAAATTTTTTTATTTAGTAGGTCAAAATTGTGATGGTTGTAATTGTCGTAAATAAAATATTCGATCTCGATATTATAGTTAACTGATGAGAAAATTTGTTTTCCCTATTCTGGGTTTTCCCACGAAATGAATTTTGGTCGGCCGATTAGATGGTCAATCACTAAATTACAGCAAAAATTGCTGTTTAGTGTTGAATCCTTGTCTAAGATGGAGCTACGATCAATTTTCGACCGTCGTATTATAGTTAACTTCGACGTTTCGCGTCTCAGTTAACTAACTAATCTCTCGACAGTAATGAAACACCTCGATATGTAATATACTATTTCTGACACATAGTTTTTTATGACAAAAATAGACATGATAGAGATATGCCTATCAAACTTTATATCATTGAAATCAGCAGAAGCAGAGCTATCCAATAAGCTATTGATATACCTACAGGGTGTCTCATGTTAAAAAAATATATTTGGTTCATAGTTTAAAAAACTATCACTTCTAGAATCCATTGTCACGTTTTCGATCCCAAAATGCAACTTTTTCAAAATCACCTTGTATCTGAAAAAAACAGAAGGACGTTGACAATTCTATTGGTGCCATCTTTCGTTTGACAAAAGAGTAGTCAAAGTTCGCGAGAACCGCATTATTCCAACTCTAATAGCAACAGAGTTATTCCTTATGTATCCAAAATGGGACACCTTGTACATACATAAAACTATATCCTGTTCACAATCCGATGTCCACAGGTGCAGGTAAATTTATCACCTTTCCCTATCAAATAGCATTGAAAGGTGATTTTACCTGTACCTACCTGTGGACATCGGATTGTGAACGGCTAATATGTCCCTATGGTTCGAACACAAATAATTACTGGTATTTTACTTGATTTCTGTGCCTTGACCGAATTCTCACACGAATAATATGATTTGGTTAATTGAATAGGATGTCATAATGAATATCGGAGAGATTTACACATTGAACACCCTGTATCTCAAAAACTAGTCATAGGATTAAGTTCTGCCCATGGTAGTTATTGACTAGAAAGATCAGATCTAAAATCCACAGCTAAAATCTGTTTCTTTAAAGATAAAAGTCAAAATGACATAATGTTGGCAATACAATGTAAAATTGTCAATGCTTTAAAATTTTTTATGTAGAAAAGGCTTGTGTTGCCAACATAGTTACTAAATTTTTGACTGGAATTATCTTTAAAAAAAAAACAGACTTTATAACATACTCAACTTTGGTTAAATTTGACCGCGGTCAGAAATCGCATAAGAAGTGTGCGGGGTCCTTTGTAAGATTATGATTATTCACTTTCTGTCAATTTGCCTTTCAACAGGAATTAGTAATGTTACTTTACTAAACTACTAACAGAATGTGACAAGTTATTCAAGTACAAATGAGTGGATTATTGCGGAATTTATGAGTGGATCTCTGCGGGACGAGCGCAGCGAGTTCCGTAGCCATCTATTCATCGATATGTTGTTAAATTACGATATTAATCTGACTCACTGAAAAACTACACGTTTCAGGTGAATGTCTTACTTCAACAGTTCAATAGTATATTGGTGAGTAGATGGCTGCGGAACTCGCTGCGCTCGTCCCGCAGAGGTCCACCCATAAGTTCTGCAATAATCCACTTATTTGTACTTGAACAATAACTTATTGAATTTAGTCATTACTGTGCAACTTTTGTATTTACACCTTCCATCACCTGTAAAGGTAAAGGCTGTAGGTGGGGTGTCAATATATGAAAAAACACCCGGTACAGTTTTTGAATAATCATACAGTTTCCTATGTACACTTTTTGAATAATTATACAGTTTTGTATATTTTGGTATGATTCTCCATTTGTAGGTCGATCGAGTGTACGCACTGGTATTTTCCTGTTTCTGACTAACCTCTCTACCTTTCCATGTTAGTATGTAGAGTTTTTGAATAATCATATAGTTTTGTTTATGTATGCATCAGAATTATACAGTAATATTTCTAGTAAAATAACCATCAAGTAACATTTTACGCATTAACATTAACACTATACGACTTCATACAAAAAGGCCTAAGTACAAGGTTATTGGTTATAAATGTCGCCCCCCTCTATCTTTTTTAATTGACATTTTAGAAAAAAGTGTCCCAAATAAAAGTTTTATGGTTGAAATTAAATTTTTTGAAAAACTCCCTTTTGCATATACAGGGTGTTTCAGAAATGCTGATCGTGCTCCAACTTTCTTATTTTAAATGGAACACCCTGTATATTATTGAATATTCGGATTTTACGTAAAATTCTGTGAAGATTTCATGTGATATACCCTATACCTAAGTTCAACTATTTTCGAAATATTGACAGTTGAAAATTGACTTTTTTGCAACTTTGACAGGCTGTGAAACCTAAACGGTTAATCTTAGAGCAAAACCGAACTTACATTTTTTTCTTAGATTTTCATAAGCTATGATTTGTCACCAACTTTGAATTTAACCGGAGATTAAATTTAATTTGAATTTTTAATCATGGATTAAATTCAAAGTTGGTATGTCAAATATCAGTGTCAACTGATAGTTTATGAAAATCCAAGATAAAAACATAAGATCGGTTTTGCTCTAAAATTAACCGTTTAGGTTTTAAAGCCTGTCAAAGTTGCAAAAAGTCAATTTTCAACTGTCAATATTTCCAAAACAGTTGAACTTAGGTATGGGGTATATCACAAAATTTTATGTAGAATCCGAATATTCAATAATATATAGGATATTCCATTTAAAATAAGAAAGTTGGAGCGCGACCAGCTTTTCTAAAACACCCTGTATATGCGAAAGTGAGTTGTTCAAAAAATTTAATTTCAACCATAAAACTTTTATTTGGGACACTTTTTTCTAAAATGTCAAATAAAAAATATAGAGGGGGGGTGACATTTATAACCAATAACCCTGTACTATCGAAGAATTGTGCACATCGGTGGGGCTGAGCATCAACTCAGCAAAAACCACTATTGTACCATTTACACGTAGAAGGAAAATTCAACTCACTAGGGAAATTCACCTAAGTGGAGAGGTTATAAATCAAGCAAATGAAGTCAAATATCTGGGTGTAATACTAGATAGTAAACTTCTATGGAAAAAACACCTAGAAGCCATTGTTACCAAAGCTACTGAAGCCATTATGGTGTGCAGAAACTTGACGGGTAAAAACTGGGGATGTACACCAAAAATACTGCGGTGGATGTACATTATGATGGTAAAACCAACCCATAATCACATATGAGGCAGCAGTTTGGTATGGCATAGCAGAACAAAGCACTACAAGCCGAGCACTTGATAAATTGCAAAGACTGGCAAGTGTATGTATTACAGAAGCCATGAGAACATGTCCAACAACAGCGTTGAACATCATACTTGACTTCATACCTTTGCACTTGTCGGTGAAGACTAGTTAGGAATAGGACCGAGGCTAAGGACATCGATCAAGGAGCATGGTCATCCCAGACACGGTGTATTCCCTTATTCGATCTTCCTAAAGACGATATAACCAAAGAATATCACTTTGAGAGAAACTTCCTCACAAGGATTGATAATAAAAGCGACTGGGAAAGCGGCGAAATCACCGAATCTCTCAAAGAAAACACCATTAAATGGTACACAGACGGTTCGAAAACCGACAAAGGATCAGGAGCTGGAGTATTTGGGCCTCGCACCAAATATTTTGAGTCACTGGGTAAATACACCAGTGTTTTTCAGGCGGAAATACACGCCATTGACAGATGTGCTCAAATGATCCTGAACAGGAACTATCTCAAGCAAGATATTGCAATATTCATCGACAGTCAATCGGCCATAATGGCACTGAGTTCATATGTCATAGTACGGGATTGCCTAGGGAAACTAAATGAGGTAGGAAAGAAAAATAAAGTCACTTTACTATGGGTGCCTGGACATACAGGAGTGGAAGGTAACAAAGAAGCCAATACCTTGGCAAAGAAAGGATCCGGTTTCCGTTTGTAGGGCCGGAGCCTTTTTGCGGTAGAGGTAAAAACACTTATACAGCGGAGCTTAAGAAAATGGAAGACGACCTAAGAGCTCGCTTCTGGGACGACCTTCCGGGACTGACACACACTGGAAACTTCAATCCCAAAAAATCTAAAGCTCTAGTAAATTTAAGTGAAACTAAACTAAGAATTCTTACAGGGTTTATGACAGGGCACTGCCACCTTCGAGAACACCGCCAGGAAAATGCTACTCGAGAGATTTAGTGAATACAGGTTTTGCGGGAAGGAGGAAGAAACTCCAGAACACCTACTAACCGTATGCGAAGCCGTCGCTAGAAGCCAGGCTTCACATCTCGGTGACTATGTAGTTTTAGAAGGAGACATACCATCCTTGACACCGTACCAGTTACTAGCCCTCATCAAGGCCATAGGACTGGACGAAGTGCTATGATTTGAGATCCACATCAAATCGGCCTCAGCAGGGGTCACAATAGATCTTTAGGTCGCAGTGCAACAACACCCCAATATTAATCTAATCTAATCTAATCTAATCTAATCTAAAATTTTATTTTGGCCCAAGACTGGTACTTATATTTTGCATATCAGATATTGCATTCTCTAAATGCCATAATAATATGGTAAATTTGATTCAGGAATTCTCATACCAGTTACCGCATAAAAGAAAAATCTGAATTGCTTACCCTGCGTACTTCCTTGTGGTGTAAATATTCCGGGGGTCCATCGCTCCTGTTCTTTTCAAAATAATGATGGTGATTATGTTTTTTCTTGTGCGCACCCTCAACTGGAAGCGAAAATTTCCTTTGACCACCATAATGATGACGTCTGGAAAAATAAATAATTTTTTTTTGGCACAAGAACAGACAGATATTGAAAAAAAAAAATTCTGATGTAACATTATTTGGCTTCCAACACCATTTACGTTTGACGCACGTGCCAAAAACTTCCGGATATTTTCAGCAAAGTGAATTTACCTGAAATTTTTCAGGCGGAAAGAGTTTTGCATCGATCGATCGATGTCGCAAAAATATCTAAACTTTAAAAAGCAGGTAAAAGTAAGTTACATTTCTCGACAAAACTTTTGATGAAAAAGTTTACCCAATTTGCATTATACATTATAAATAACTTATTTACATAAAACTTACGGAAAATTATAACTTTTTTCATTATAGGGCATTATAATCCTTTAAAACTCAAACACAACCAACACCCAAGTCATTATCCTAATCACTACCTAATTATTGTTGAACGTGTAAACTTTGGCAAAGTTTTTTTTTTTTTTTTCATTTAAGAAATGCAATCAATGCCAACTCCTGGCCAAAATTTTAAATTAGAACAATTATCATAAAGGCTACGACATATGTACCTCAAACAATTACCTTTTCTTTTTAAGTCCGTCCGGATCGAAAGTGTCTCGGTATTCTTCGCTGTTCAAAAACGACACTTTTTTATCGGGACTGGTTTGCTCAGAATCATTCTGAACGAAATAGTTGCACGGATCAGAAACGACGCATTCCGAGTCTGAGCTTTGGTTGTCGGCATCGTCTTCCGCTTGGAGAACTGGCGAGTTTAGTGGACCAGTTTCTGAGTCACCAATTTTTGATCTGAAGCTGAAACAAACTTGTTTAAAAAAAAAATGCACATTTCTTATTGTAAGAGGATTATCGTTTTTATTTCTGGAAATATATGTAGGGATTCGTTACGTAAACAGGTCAACTTTCAGTTTATGCGTTCCCGTGGGATGACCCCGGCATTATAAAAGAGATAAATGTTTCTGTTTTCGTCTATATGTATAAAGACGGCAAAATAATTGGTATTAGTTAGAATTTAGTTTTTTTTTTCTTTGTGTATTTCTTCTCGAAAGCTTAAAGAATACAAAAATTCCATTTTTACTCACCTACTCAAGTTGCTAATAGTAGGAGGTTGATCGGTAGAAGGTGTTCCAGTACCAGAATCCTTAGGGGTATCGGTGGGGGTGTTGTGAGGGGTCGAATCTTGAGAAACATTTCTTCGCCTCATAGATTTGGTACCTTTTTTAACAAAAGCATGGCTGTGGGGGTAGTTTTCTTGACGGTGTTCTGGAAAAATTTTATTCACATTTGGTGTTGTTAGGACCATAATAACACTGATGGAGGTGTTAATGCGAAGAAAATCTAAATAATACTATCGATGTCAAATGGAAGAAGAAGGCCAATGACGTTTTATTTTTGCGAGGTGAAAAACTTGTAAATGGAAATTTTCGAGAACCTTCACTATAGAAAAATTTATAATTGTCTTACACCAATTTCAATAATCGTCCAGATAATTATATATGGAACCTTCAAAGAAATCTTTTTCAATTAAATAATAACAAAAAAATTAGATCATTATTATTGGTTCAATTGTGTTCATTAAGGTCAAAAATTTAAAAAAATTATAACGCGTATCGAATTCCAATTTAAAAAAAAATCTGGTCGATGAGCATGAAAATGAATTATTCTGTAATTATTTAAATTCAAACGATTCATTCCAATTTACCATTTGAAGATTATTATTGTACATTGAATAATCAGCCTCTAAAGTAATATTATAGAGTCGTGCACAACCTTTGAGTTACAAATCATAGCTCAATTCTGACGTTAATTGAATTTTGATGCTGATTGCTGACGAAGTTTCAGCAAATGGAAAATTGATTCTATAGGAGTAAAACAATAATTTGAAATGTCAGCGTTCATTAATAATTATTATTCGTTGGATGGAAATTTCCATTTGGCACGAGAATTTTTTAGAGTCTAGACAGACAGAGTCTTTAAATAGACTTATTTTCCTAGAGCCAATCAAGAGCCTGTGATAGTAAAGTTTGAACTATTACCGGCTCTTGATTCGCTGGAAAATTTTCCTGGAACCAATCAAGAGCCGGTGATAGTCAAATTTTGAACTTTTATCGGCTCTGGATTTGTTATTTTTCCAAGGGCAACCAAACTCAAAAGCCACTAATGAACCACTATCAAATTTCCTGACAGAATGCCGAAGACACCCGAACAATCAGTGACATCGGTTATAGATTTTTTATTACAAATACTTTTTTCTACAAACGTCACTAAAAGTGTCATTTTTAACGGATGCTGTCAGTGTCTAAAATGCCATTTTACGACACTGGTGCTAAAAGTAATCACTTTTAGTGCGTTTGTAGAAAAAATAGTGAATGATATTCGTGCTAAAAGTGATTTTTTCTACAAACGTGTTAAAAATGCAATTTTTAACACCCCCTCGAAGCATTAAAAATGTTACTTTATTGCACTAGTGTTAAAAGTCTTTAAGGCACTAGTGTTAAAAATGAAACATCAAAATTTGAAAGCAAACGTCAAAAAAAGTTTGTATTTTTAATTATTTACATTAATATTAATGGTAAAATTTGAACAACTGAGGAAGCTCCATCGGCCGCCTCCTCTATATTTTTCAAGGGATTGATGCAACCCTCTTTTTCTTGTGTATTTTGATAAACCAATAAAATTATTAGAAAAAAATTCTCTAGTTTCGCCAATAACCACGCCACTGCGTGCTATCATTCAGACTCTAACCAATGGAATCATGCCCCTGAATAATCACGTCTCTCCACATCCATCATTTCGCAATATTGCCGGATTTTTTTCTATTTCGAAATACTACGCATGCCCATACAGCAAAAAAAATATGTCACCAACTTGTTTACCATTGTTTCCGTCAAGTTTGGCAAAGCAGCAAATTCTTTTGAAGTTCGCCGTTTGGCTAGCCAGACTATACGCACATTTGTACGAAAATATACAAAAATTATATAATCGTATTATTATTATAATATTATAACTGTAACTGTATTATAAATCGAGTAATAAAGTTTCTCAAAACCGGCGAAAAAAGTCCATATTATAGTCGTATAGATTCGACCTCGAGCAATACGAGAAAAATACTTTAAAAATTCTAACGTCATATTTGTCAGCTGTCAATGTCGTCAACAATAGGACAAACAGAAAGAAATTCAAAAAAAAAGGGCCCCGAGTTGCACCAGATTTTTTCAAAACAATTTCACGTCATCTTTCAAAAAATTTTGACAGTTGTCATGTGACCGGAATTTGTTGCGATAGGGTTGTTTGCCTCTGCCCCTGCTTTACTATGGGTTTCTTGAGGCACGTGACCACATTGGAGGTAACATAATCTAAAAATTAGTGAACTTTAAATTGGAACACCGAAAAAATATCAAAAGAAGAAACCATGACACTCCAACACTATTTTTAAACGAATAGGTTGTCTTACCTCCAGTGTCAATTTTGTGACGTCACGTGTACGAAACCAATACAAGCTACAACCACCAAACTTGGTGCATAAAGATTAGTCGACGTGGGCTTCTTGTCAGTGTCAAAAAAATTTGACAGCTCTCAACGTCAAAAAAAGTTTATTTTTTCCAATTTTCCAAAAAAATTTTACTATGGTCCGAAAACGATCCCGCGACCCAAAAAACCCTCAAAAAAAAAATTGACATTGACATAATATGTCAAAAAATTACAGCTTGACAAGGACAAACGTGTCAAATTTGAAAGACGCATTCGGATAGAATTTTTGACGCTCAACATTCTTGTGATATTGACAGATGTCACCTGTCAAATCTGACACATGTTTGCCTCTCTCCCCGCCCTATCATACACGCTACGACCACCAAATTTGATACATGATGGATATATGTCGTAAACTATCTATCAGTGTCGAATTTTTTTGACAGCTATCAACGTCAAAAAAGTTTTTCATATACATATAGGAAATACCTAACATAATTTTATTTGGGTATCCAAGAACCGACATACGTAAATCACTAGAACGAGTGGCTTAAACGAGTAATATTTCCAAATAGCAGGGCCGTGCAAAAGGGGGTGCGGCCGGTATAAATTACCGGGGCCCGAGTTCCGTAGGAATTTTTAAGCAATTTTTAAGCAATTGAAACAAAATGGAAATATGATTTTTTCCCACTTTATGTCCGTTTCTTTCTCACTTATTCAATTTTCTATATCGCTGTCTCTTACTTTTTTATCCCAGGCTCTTGATTGGTATTTCCTAGTTTATATCCGTCGTCTCTTTCTCACTTATTGCGTTTCTTATGTTGTCGTCTCTCACTCTCTTATTTCAAACTCATGATTGAGTTACTCGAGCGCCGAAAATACCCAAAAATTGGTGTCACGTTTATTTTATCCTACTTTATTTCCATCTCTTTCTCACTCATACAATTTTCTATATCGCTGTCTCTTACCTTATAATTCCAGGCTCTAGATTGGTCAAACATAGAAATTATAAAATCACTCAAGCGCCAGGAATAATAAGAATATACCTTCCTTAATAAGTTTTCATTTTATTATGTCTCCATATCTTTTTCATTGATGGCCGTTTGCATCGCACTGACCATTTTAAGAAAGCCTTAGCGATAAGTATTCCTTAAAGTGACATTTTTCCATGCAAAAATGTCACTTGGAATACTTATCGCTAAGGCTTCCTTAAAATGGTCAGTGCCATCGGCCATGAATCTCTTATATCATTATCTTTCTCTTATCATTCCAGGCTTTTGATTCGTCAGAGAAAAAAAAAACAGAGCCACTCAAGGACCAAGAATAATCAAAATTAATGTCACAATTTTTTTTCTCACTTTATGTCCGTTTCTCTCTTACTTACTTATTGTGTTTCACTTTCGTATGTTGTCGCTCACTTCCTTATTTTCAGCCCATGATTACGTCACTCAAGCGCCTTGAATATCCAAAAATTAGTGTCACATTTATTTTTATCCCACTTTGCCTGCGTCTTTTTCCCACTCATTCAATTTTCTAATATTGCAGTGTAGGGGTCCGGCCCACCAAAAATGTTCTCAAGTCCACTATGTACAAATAAGTGGATTATTGCGGAACTTATGGGTGGACCTCTGCGGGACGAGCGCAGCGAGTTCCGCAGCCATCTACTCACCAATATACTGTTGAACTATTCAAATAAGACACTCACCTGAAACGTGTACTTTTTAAACTAATGAGAATAACTCACATTTGAGTGAGTCAGGTTAGTATTGTACTTGAACAACATATTGGTGAATAGATGGCTGGGTCCACCCATAAGTTCCGCAACAATCCACTCGTTTGTACTTGAATAACTTGTCACAATATATTACTAGTTGGGTAAAGTAACATTACTAATTCCTGTTGAAAGGCGAATTGACAAAAAGTGGATAATCTTACAAATTCTGACTTTATATAATAAGTTATTTTTCAAGTACAAATAAGTGGATTATTGCGGAACTTATGGGTGGACCTCTGCGGGACGAGCGCAGCGAGTTCCGCAGCCATCTTTTCACCAATATACTGTTAAACTCTTCAAGTAAGACATTCACCTGAAACGTGTACTTTTTAAACTAATGAGAATAACTCACATTTGAGTGAGTCAGGTTAGTATCGTACTTGAACAACATGTTGGTGAATAGATGGCTGGGTCCACCCATAAGTTCCGCAACAATCCACTCGTTTGTACTTGAATAACTTGTCACAATATATTACTAGTTGGGTAAAGTAACATTACTAATTCCTGTTGAAAGGCGAATTGACAAAAAATGGATAATCTTACGAATTCTGATTTTATATAATAAGTTATTTTTCAAGTACAAATAAGTGGATTATTGCGGAACTTATGGGTGGACCTCTGCGGGACGAGCGCAGCGAGTTCCGCAGCCATCTACTCACCAATATACTGTTGAACTATTCAAATAAGACACTCAAATGGAACGTGTACTTTTTAAACTAATGAGAATAACTCACATTTGAATGTCAGGTTAGTATCGTACTTGAACAACATATTGGTGAATAGATGGCTGGGTTCACCCATAAGTTCCGCAACAATCCACTCGTTTGTACTTGAATAACTTGTCACAATATATTACTAGTTGAGTAAAGTAACATTACAAATTCCTGTTGGAAGGCGAATTGACAAAAAGTGAATAATCTTACAAATTCTGACTTTATATAATAAGTTATTTTTCAAGTACAAATAAGTGGATTATTGCGGAACTTATGGGTGGACCTCTGCGGGACGAGCGCAGCGAGTTCCGCAGCCATCTTTTCACCAATATACTGTCAAACTCTTCAAGTAAGACATTCACCTGAAACGTGTAGTTTTTAAACTAATGAGAATAACTCATTCACATTTGATTGAGTTAGGTTAGTATCGTAATAATTGAACAACGTATTGATGAATAGATGGCTGCGGAACTCGCTGCGCTCGTCCCGCAGAGGTCCACCCATAAGTTCCGCAACAATCCACTCATTTGTATTTGAATAACTTGTCACATTATGTTACTATAAGTTTGGTGAAGTAACATTACTTTTTTTAAAATTTTTTGTACGTACCACCTAGTAAAAACCAAATAATATTGAATAATGTATGTGTAATAAAAAATTCATTACTGACGCCACTGATCGTTCGGGTATCTTCGGCATTTTGTCAGATAACTTTTGTCAGGAAACTTCACAGTGGTTCAAAACTCAACAATCACTTAAAATCATTCTTAAAAAATTATCCAATGGATCAAGAACCAAATAATCATTTTTTAAATTATCACCGGCTCTCCGATTCCCTAGAAAAATTTCCTGGATCCAATCAAGAGCCTGTGATAGTCAAAATTTGAACTATTACCGGCTCTTGATTTGTTGGAAGATTATCCTCGAGCCATTCAAGAGCCGGTAATAATTAAAATTTGAACTTATTGGCTCTAGAAAAGTTATCCAATTTTTCATCGTTATACATAATTGGAAAATATACAAAAGAATCACTGTAGTTTAATTAGTTAATTGTTTAGTTTCAGAAAAATGAATCTTCCCTAACATTAACACCGCTAGAAACAATCCCCGAGGATCTTGTTCAAGGTAAAGCGAATATACGATTCCTATTTAATTGAAAATAAATCAAGATTCTACTCACGTTCAAAGTCTTTTTCGTCGTACTTCGCCTTGGGTTGAAATTCCTTGTCCCGAAAATCAAAGACAGTGGAAATGCCGGTGTCCATTGCGAATACTTTGGCGCATTCGTCGTCCAGTTGCACATCGGAATCGCCAGTAGTGCCATTATTCTATAAAACAAACCAACCACTTTCAGTAATATTTTTGAGTGTAGACTCATCATTAAACCCAGCTACTTTGCTTAATAGGGAGATAAACAACTCTTGGTAGGGCTGTAAACAATCGGCCCTTTATAGAGGTAATAATTTGAGGCGAAAATAAATGTTACCCGTGCACAAACATGTTTATTTTTGCAGAGGAATAATGAGTTTAATTTGCTGTAATTGCATTAAAAGTCCTCAATGGATAATTTTCTATAGAAAACTTTAGGCTAAGTTTCTTATTACAATTATTAGAAAACTTAAAATGGAATTCTAAATTGCATAACTAAGGAATCCTTCCAACGTTTTATTTTCTTAGAATTGAAAGTGAAAAATGACCTACTTCATGAAACCTTAAAAATAGCTTTTTCTCGAGAATCTCCATTGAACAGAAAAAAAACCCGATGTGTAGGCGAAATGAAAAATTACCCTGCAAGGTCGAATTCAAAGCACGTATTGTATTGGGGCCCATGATAAATAATGAAGTATAGTACACTGTATACAGGGTGGTCTAATTTAGACAGAGAATTTCTGAGTACAAAATAATGTATCCCCAACTCTTATAGGATTGCAGTGCTTGCACCAGGCAAGATTTCATGAATTTGAGCTAATTTTTTTTTTTGTATTTTGCTCATAGATTTACGTTTCCCATTGACTAACTGGACCACCCTGTACATACATTACAAAGCAATTTGTTTATTTTTGAATTTAATTCGATTTTAGTTAACGAAAATCCAAATAAAAACACTTTGGAGCTTCACAGCTTGGAAAATATTGAAGCAGCATTGAAACTACCCAGTAGAAATTTGTAGAAGATTCAATTGTCCCTAATTTAAACCTAATTACAATCGAGTATGACTAGTTTTCAAAAACCTAGCAATCCCTTAGTTTTTTTTGATTTTTTCAAAAACTAGAGGAGCACCTAATTTTTAATTAGAGGCCCTAATTAGCACCTAAAAAGCACCTAATTTTGATACAACAGAAAATTTTGGAAAAACATTTTTTACTATACGGGACTTCTAGCTTTTATAAACCTAGCAATCCCGTAGTTTTTTTTGATTTTCTCAAAAACTAGAGGAGCACCTAATTTTTAATTAGAGGCCCTAATTAGCACCTAAAAAGCACCTAATTTTGATACAACAGAAAATTTTGGAAAAACATTTTTTACTATAGGGGACTTCTAGCTTTTATAAACCTAGCAATCCCGTAGTTTTTTTTGATTTTCTCAAAAACTAGAGGAGCACCTAATTTTTAATTAGAGGCCCTAGTTAGTACCTAAAAAGCACCTAATTCTGATACCAAAGAAAATTTTGGAAAAACATTTCTTACTATAGGGGACTTCTAGCTTTCATGAATCTAGCAATCCCTTAGTTTTTTTTGATTTTCTCAAAAACTAGAGGAGCACCTAATTTTTAATTAGAGGCCCTAATTAGCACCTAAAAAGCACCTAATTTCGATACAACAGAAAATTTTGGAAAAACATTTTTTACTATAGGGGACTTCTAGCTTTTATAAACCTAGCAATCCCGTAGTTTTTTTTGATTTTCTCAAAAACTAGAGGAACACCTAATTTTTAATTAGAGGCCCTAATTAGCACCTAAAAAGCACCTAATTCTCATACAAAAGAAAATTTTGGAAAAATATTTTTTACTATAGGGGACTTCTAGCTTTTATAAACCTAGTAATCCCGTAGTTTTTTTTGATTTACTCAAAAACTAGAGGAGCACCTAATTTTTAATTAGAGGCCCTGATTAGCACCTAAAAAGCACCTAATTCTGATACAAAAGAAAATTTTGGAAAAATATTTTTTACTATAGGGGACTTCTAGCTTTTATAAAACTAGCAATCCCGTAGTTTTTTTTGATTTACTCAAAAACTAGAGGAGCACCTAATTTTTAATTAGAGGCCCTGATTAGCACCTAAAAAGCACCTAATTCTGATATAAAAGAAAATTTTGGAAAAACATTTTTTACTATAGGGGACTTCTAGCTTTCATGAATCTAGCAATCCCTTAGTTTTTTTTGATTTTCTCAAAAACTAGAGGAGCACCTAATTTTTAATTAGAGGTCCTAATTAGCACCTAAAAAGCACCTAATTCTCATACAAAAGAAAATTTTGGAAAAACATTTTTTACTATAGGGGACTTCTCGCTTTTATAAACCTAGCAATCCCGTAGTTTTTTTTGATTTTCTCAAAAACTAGAGAAGCACCTAATTTTTAATTAGAGGCCCTAATTAGCACCTAAAAAGCACCTAATTATTATATAGTTCCCGAAGTTTTTTTCCACCTTGGGACTGCTAGGTTTATAGACCTCAAAAAACGACATTGAGAAACGTTTTATTTTTCTTTGAGGAAAATTTTGCAGGGATTGGATTGAAATTTTGCAAATGGAGAGAGAAAAGATTGAAATTTATAAAGAAAAATCAAAACTTCCTTCTGCTCATCCACCATGATAAAAATCCAAATAAAAACACTTTGAAGTTTCACAGCTTGAAAACTAGTGAAGCGGCGTTGAAACTACCTAATAGAGATTTGTAGAGAATTCAATTGTCTCTAATTCAAGCCTAATTATATCAGGATCGGATTGAAATTAAAAAAGTTGTGAGCGAAAATTTAAAAAAAAATCCTAATAGGGTTAGGACAAATTTCCAATATTTGCATTAAACTTCGATTAAATCGAAATAAATTATACACCATTAAAAAGTGCATTAAATTCTCTACAAATCCGTGCTAAATTGAGTTTGATAGCTCGATTTTCTACTATTATAATCAGTAAAAATTTCGAAAATAATTGTCTATATTTATTTTAATGTTCTAATGTAAACGCACCCAAAGCTAGCCAATGCAAATTCTATACTTAGTTGACTCGATTGATGATCATAAATGGCGCTCTATATTAACTCAATCGAAATGACTGGGTTTACACCAGCAAACTCAAAAATATACCTGTTTATAAGGCGAAGTCAACCATTTCACTAGTTTCTCTCTGGTTTTATACAAAAGGGTGATTTGCTGTTGGGCTTTCGAAGTGCTGGGCTTTTTATTAGGCATAACCGATTCTTGATCATTGTCACAAGTATCACAATTTACGTCTCTTCATTTTAATGGACCTTTGAACAACACAAAGGCCGTCATATAGATTTGAAATGGTTTTGGTTTTAATCAAATTGGTGCATAGTAACCATAGTAATAACTTCAAAATAAAAACAAAAAAAACGTCAGTATTAAAATACAGTCAACATGAATAATTATTTGTCCAATTTCCTCTCAAAATTATCAAAAAAAGTCACCATAAACGCCCAACAAGAAGATGAAGCCAATGAAGAAAATGAAGCCAATAATAAAGAAGATGAAGCCAATGAAGAAGAAGACCAGCCAAAAATTGAAAATGTACAACAGGAAGCTGAAGAAGATTTGGTGGACCCAATAGACATTTTGAGAGAGAAATGTAAAGAAACAAACAAAAAGTGTAAGAATTTAGTTGAAAAGCTGGAAAGTTGCACCAAAAGAGTGACTTCGAGAACCAATACTACGGAAACTTGCGTCGAAGAAATGGCAGATTTGGTTCATGCTGTCGATATGTGTGTGTCGAAAGATTTATTCAAGAAATTGAAGTAATAATTTATTTTTAGTTTTGTTGTTATTGTTGTGTTATCATTAGAAAATGATTTTCCAACAAACATCTTTTGTATAACTTCATCATTGAATAGATAACTTTTAAAAAATTGTTGTGTTTAAATTAAACTTTTTCAATTGGCATAAAAGTCTTGGAACAACAACAAACTGTTTTGTTGAATCCCCCCTGAAGCTATTATCTTCTGAAAGAAAATTCCTTTTCCGGTTTCAATAATTTTGAATTTATGAATACGAAAATTTGGACGATTGTGTAACGATTTTACACACAAGAGGAATTTTATTCATTATTTGCTAAACAACATAGTAAACAAAAAATTGCAATTTTCAATTAGTCAGATAAGTACAAACAAATCCGCACCAATGTGAATTAAAATCAAAACCAAAACTCGGAACTCTATACCAAAGTCTCAATCCCGGGAAACGAGACTCTTAAAAATCCCGACAAACTGCGACGGGAAAGGGCCCAGTAATCAGCGATGCCGCAAAGTGCTGACTGAGAGCGCGAATAGCCTGACATCATAGCTAGAAAACTCTGTTTCGGTTTATGCTACGTTGCCATAGATTACAAATACTCTACGTTTGTTTGAATACTCAATTTGTTTTGGACAAATTCTGCTTCGAAAATAGAGATTGACGGCAACACTGCAACCCTTACCCATCTCTGTCTGGATGAACCTGCTGTTTGGGTCGATACAGACAGCTCTTCTTCTGGATTCTGATGATGCTGTTTACTGTAGCTGACCTGCGTTGTTCGATTGGTGAGTTGGAGCAGGCTAGAGTAGGAATTAGATACGAGGATTGACCAATATTATATGAATGAAACACATCATTATTAACTCTCATAGTAGTTGGATCGCAATCAAAGAAAGCTACAGAATTTATTGTAGAGTTAATGTATAGCTATAGAAGTCATAAAAAAATATCAAAATTATTGTGGAAAATTAAGAATTTAATGAAGAAGTCATAAGAACTAAGAACTAGTTTAATGTAGGAATAGAGAATCTCTTAATTGTTATGGAATTAGGAGGTTTTTAGATCTGGCCTACAACTTACTCTAATTAGAACTATTTAACTCCAACTATCAAATTAATCAACACATTAGGAGGAGTATGTAATGTGAAGCTGCACGATAAAATTTTTAAATGTTCCTGGTAGATTTAGCTATCCCGAATCGCTCCTGCATCCTGAATCGAACCATCCAATTTCAAGGTCATTGTCAATACCTCGTAGGGCTCTCAATTTAGGGCAACCAGTATAGGGTTGGCCCTTTTTTGTATGGGGGCCGAGCACGTGGATAAACTCTCCCTCTCTCTGCGCCAGATAAAATTGCATAAATGGGCCAAAGTCGGGCTGTTAATTTTGGAAGCTCCCGAACGGAAATTGGCAATTTCGAACGGAAGATTTTTCTGAAGGATTTATCATTAGCAATAATAGGTGTTATACAGGGTGCAGTGGCGGATACGGTGGCGGGGCAGGGGGGGGGGGCATGAAAAAATCACACTTTTGTCTTTGTCTTAAGAACTTTAACAGTATATCATTAGTGGTTGAGTTGATGTATTGTTTTTTTTTTTTTGTTCTAATAAATAAATATTCATACAAAATCAATTAGCCTATCCAAAACACGTGACCTTGACAAGCAAAATATGGCCGACAAGAGGCACACAGAAATTGACACAAACATAAACCATAACGTCATTTTATTATCTCATGAATAATTATAATTTTTTCAATACTCATTTTCTATTGTGTGCGTCTCAATTTTTCGCAGTTTCTACCCAATTATGGAATTCTTTATTGTTTGGGCAAAATTGCTCTACCTGCATTGCACTTGCACACGCAGGACACCCAAAATGTGGGAATATTTATTTGTTTCAACTCCATAACGTCCAAATACAAAATATTTACTGCAAACTTTGGAGTATTTTAGTTCGGCTTTTGTCATATCCCCTCTTTCAATGGCCTGTAAACCACTTATTGTGTCTTCATTTAGAAAGATCATTTAGGTTCTTTCTATGTCTATGTATAAAGTTCAACACAATTGGAATTTGAAAAAACTTAACAATTTCGATCTCCACGACTTCCACATTTAATAATACAACACGTTGTAGGCATGTTATTCGCGTTTTTAAGAACTATTTACTACTGTTTACATCCACTATTTAAATAGGTACACTATTTCCACAGCATATACAAAAACAATCAGCAGGCTAACTTGAGTGACAGCCCGTGTAATAAAGGAATTCATCGTCAAAATGTCACTAACGGCCATTTTGGGATACGAAACAGGGCCTGATTAACGATAATTTAGGTTTTTTCTTTCCTGTGACAGAGTCGTATGGGCTTTAAATAAACTAATTTATTATTACTTACATATAAAAATGTTTATAATTACTAATTTATTATTATTATTGAATATACAAGAATGATAACAGATAACACCATAAATGACAACACGAATATATCAAAATCGTTTTGAAAATCATAGCTAAAATTCCGCTCTACATCGCACGCCTATGACCTCTGTCAGAAATAAACAAATAAAATAAAATTTCGGCGCTCCTGCTGTTTAATGACAGCGTTTTGACAAAATGGATCCCCTAATGGCGGCGGTGCGCAGAAAAGATGCGCGTGAGAGTTAGCCTGCTGATTGTTTTTGTATATGCTGTGCTATTTCTAACATTAATAAAAACAACAGTTTCAAGTATCAGAACGCAAATAATTTACAATGAGCACTATTTTGAATTCATAACATTATTTGATGACACACTGGATGACACATAAACAAAGGGTTTGTGTGCCTCTTGGCGGACATTTTAATTTAAGTTTGACAGCATCTTGGATAGTTCAATAAGATTATGTACAGGATGTTTTTTTATATATTGACACCCCACCTATAGCCTTTACCTTTACAGGTAGATGAAAGGTGTAAGTACAAAAGTAATACAGCTAAATTTTTAAAATCCATGGTCAAAAACAAAAACTGAATGTCAGAAATGTGAAATGTTGCATGCTTTCAGTTTTTTTGGAGCCAAATATATGAGAGATTGCTCAATCAAATATAGATCGGGGCATTGTGCTCTTCAAGAATATAGAATAAAATATAGGGCATCCCATTTGAAAAAAGCTGGAAGCATGCAAAATTTGACATTTCTGACATTCAAATTTTGTTTCTGACCATGGTTTCTAAAAATTCAGCCAAAACTGTACAACTTTTTTGTATTTACACCTTTCTTCTACCTGTGAAGGTAAAGGCTGTAGGTGGGGTGTTAATATATAAAATATCACCCTGTACAAACGAGTAAATTATTGTGGAACTTATGGGTGGACCTCTGCGGAACTCGCTGCGCTCGTTCCGCAGCTATCTGCTCACTAATATACCTGAAACATGTAGTTTTTGAACTATTGGGAAAAATTCACAACTGAGTGAATCAAGTTAGTATTGTACTTGAACAACATATTGGTGAACAGATGGCTGGCTCCACCCATAAATTCCGCAACAATCCACTCGTTTGTACTTGAATAACTTGTCATAATATATTACTAGTTTGGTAAAGTAACATACTAATTCCTGTTAAAAGGCCAATTGACAAAAAGTGAATAATCTTACAAATTCTGACTAAAACGTATAACAAGTTATTGTTCAAGTACAAATAAGTGGATTGTTGCGGAACTTATGGGTCGACCTCTGCGGGACGAGCGCAGCGAGTTCCGCAGCCATCTAATCACCAATACAGGGTGTATCAGGTTTGACTACAAACATTCTAACGCGTGAAAATATGGCTCATTTTAAACAAAAAAAGTTTATACAACATGGGGTCCAAACTCAACTATTTTCAAGAAAAAGGCCTTTGAAGTTTTGACATTTTTTGACGAATATTTCAAAGATAAAATTTTTTTTAATCATTATGAGATGTAAAAAAGTTCAGTTTATTCAATTATTAAGTAATTATGCATTTTTAGTCAACAACAATAACAAAAAATTGAAAAACAACATAAAAATTTCACTTGTAAATCGGTATCTTAACATCTGGCAACATAGCACAATAAAGAATAGGTGGTTGAATGTTGAACCTTGGTTGAACTCAATCATTGATTCTTGATTCGTCTTGCCTATTTGGGAAACGCGCGTAATTTAAATTCATTCTTTTTTGAAAATAAAATGTTCACAAACGTCGAACATGCAGATACTTGTTTAGGCAGAATCGTTGTAAAATGCCCATTTAGCCGCCAGAATTTACAGGAAAACTAGGGAAAGATTTCCCAAAAGAAAAACACCCACCTGATGAAAGAATATTGTGCCCGTTTTACAAAGATTCCCAAGTAACATTTTTCCATCTTCCAACGTTATTTGCACCTATTTCAACGTCAGAATAGATTCATATATTAGTCGTATTACGACTTCACAGCCTCAGTCGCAGTACAACGTTGGAACAACGATGCCTAGGCCACGCAAGCCGCCTACGAAAAGTAAAGTAGCTTACGAGTAATTTGCCAACGTTGGCGTGACGTCCTTTCTTGACTAAAATATTGAAAGTCATCTCTGGACGTCGCTACAATGTCGCCATATAACCTATTATGACTAGGTAAGCTTTGGTATAGTAGGCAACGTTGGTCGGACGTTGTCATTCGACTAAATTTAAATATGCGGCATTAAGTTTTCCGCCAACGTTGGTTCGACGTCGGTAAATTTACCAAAATTGATTAAACCCTCACAATGTACACAAAATAAAATGACCCAACTTTTTTTAAGGGTTATTTTAAATTTACGTAAATTTTAGTTTCGAACTATTTTCTTGTGAATTAAGTACCCATACGTAATTGAAAATAATGCAAAGAGAGCGACAACCATTTAAGCATTCCACGACATTTTATAGAGAAAAGAGAATTTTAAGTAACAGCAAGATATATCATTGCCAATGATCGGGTAAATCGGATCAGTGTTTCCGAAAATCTACTGTGTGTCTGATATTTTATACAATTAA